TAAAGTTTGCAAACCCAACTGGTCTGCATCATACAGTCTCTGCAATCTTCTCAGTTAAAACAGTTCCAAGCGATTAGCCATCTTAGTGAAGAAGGAAAAACAAAGGTGCTTGTGCTGCCATGAGCTGCATTTGATGAAGTGCTTGCAGTTCACAAAAAGCACACACCAAAGGCACACACGTGCAGTATATGTCAGGCATGGGCTAACTTGGGCTCTCCCTCCATGTGTTTCAGACCGGTAGGCTGTTAGGAATTGTGGGAGTTGAAGTCCAAAACACCTGGAGGGCTATTTTTAATGTCAGGAACGACATGTCTTCATGCAGGAAAAGCACAATCAAAGCACCCCTAACAGATGGCCATCAAGTCTTAATAATATTAAAGATACTCAGTAATAATAATAATAATAATAAGAAGAAGAAGAAGAAGAAGAAGAAGAGTTGGAGGAGCCCCTGTGGGCCAGCTAGTCCAGGGGCCCTCAAACTAAGGCCCGGGGCCAGATACGGCCCTCCAAGGTCATTTACCTGGTCCTCGCTCAGGGTCAACCTAAGTCTGAAATGACTCGAAAGCACAGCAACAACAACAACAATCCTATCTCATCAGCCAAAAGCAGGCCAACACTTCCCATTAAAATACTAATAAGTTTATATTTTAAAATTGTTTTTCATTTTAATTATTGTATTGTTTTGAAGTTTTTTGCACTACAAATAAGATATGTGCAGTGTGCATAGGAATTCATTCATTTTTTTTTCAAATTATAATCCGGCCCTCCGACAGTTTGAGGGACGGTGACCTGGCCTTCTGCTTAAAAAGTTTGAGGACCCCTGATCTAGTCCAACCCCCTCCTGTCTTTATGCAGGAAAAGCACAATCAAAGCACCCCTGACAGATGACCACCCAGCCTCTGCTTAAAAGCCTCCAAGGAAGGAGCTTCCATTGGACTCCAAAGCGGCACACTTCCTCCTCCCTACCTGTTTTTCCTTTTATCCCTTAAGCCTTCCTCACAATTACTCAGCTGCCTGCCATCAACACTGTTTCCAGCCTCAGTTTGCAGATCTTTCCATGGAGGCAAGGGGCAGAACCCTCAACATTCCTCACATTCTTGCAGCCATGTAATAAAAGTCGAATATCCCAAAGGGGCTTGTAGTCATGGAATCACAGAGTTGGAAGAGACTACATGGGCCATCCGGTCCATCCCTGTACAGTGAGTTCCACTGCTGAACAGCTTTTTTTAGGGTCACGGAGTTATTCCTAATGTACAGGTGGGATCCCTTTTCCTGCAATTTGAATCCATGTCTCCCTTGCACCCTAGTCTCTGGGGCAGCATAAAGGAAGCTGGACCCCTCCTCAATGTGACATCCTTTCAAGTATGAGGGTTGAATGAAAAGTCATTCATCATCATCATTCATCATCATTTAATTACTTATTAATCGCCCTCCATCCAAGATGCTCTAGGCGATTTAAAAGTAATGCCTCCACCTTCGTAACTCCTCCAGTACTGGTATGTGGCAAGTCCTGGCTTATTCAGTAGACTCTCCTTTACAGTTCCATTTTGGTGGGAAGCCTTAGCATTGAACGGTTGTGTTGTTAAAGTGCAAAGTATGGAACGCTGCACAGACAGTTGGTCAATCCGATTTAAGCAGTGTGCAGTCATTGAATTCTTGACAGCAGAAGGTGTCACCCCAAAGGAGATTCATCAGAGAATGCAAGCTGTTTATGGTGAATGTGTTGATGTGAGTGCTGTGCATCGTTAGGCGAGTAAGTTTAAAGATGTTGAGGTGGAAACATCTGACTTGCATGACAAACAAAGAGTTGGACGTCCTGGTGACAGCATCCACCGAGTTTCACAAGTAAAAGGTTGACAGATTGATTCAGGACGATCATCATATCACTCAGAGAGAAATTTCAAGCATAATCAGGATTTCACAAGAATGTGTGGATCACATTATTGCTTTATTTGGCTATCGGAAGATCTGTGCGTGATGGGTTGCGGAAACAGAGTGTCCACTTCTTCCGTGACGGTTTCAGAAAACGTGTTCACTGTTGGCAGAAATGCATGTATTTGTCGGGTGATTATGTGGAAGAGGGAATAGTGGTAGTTAAAGAGCACATTCTAAGGATTATTTCTGCGTTTGATTTATTAAAATATTCCCATCCAAACCCAAGTAACGAAGGTAGAGGCACTACATTTCATTCAACCCTTGTATTTCAACATGGCGGCTATTATGGCCTCTCCACATACCTAGTTCCCTAAGCACTTCCTCATAGGGCTTAGCTTCCAGACCTTTGACCCTTTTAGTTACCCTCTTCCTCTGGACTTCTTCCAGCTTAGAGTTAATTGTGGTGCTGAAAATTTGACACTTTCTTCCAAGTGAGGTCTGACCAAAGCAGAACAGAGAGCTGATTGGCCAAAACGAACAAAATGCATTTTCAACAAGGACATATGAAAGCTACTACACATTTTGAGCTGCATCCAAAGGATTCGAGTGTTGATGGAGGGAAGTCCCCTCCATCAACACTCGAATCCTTTGGATGCAGCTCAAAATGTGTAGTAGCTTTCATATGTCCTTGTTGAAAATGCATTTTGTTCGTTTTGGCCAATCAGCTCTCTAATTTGTTGATGTCCTTTTAAGTTCTGATCCTGTCCTCTCCCTCCTCATTTGGTCCCATCTGCACACTTGATCAGCACGCCCTCTAAACCTTCATCCAAGTCATGAATGAAGATGTTGAACAGCACTGGTCCCAGGATGGAGCCCTCTTGATGGCACACAAATAGTCACATTCTTTCCAGGATGAAGAGAAGGAACCACTGGAGAGAAGCTCCCTTTGCGTTTGGTCACTTAACCAATGACAGATCTACCTCACCATAGCCCTGCCTGGCCCACCTTGGACTAGTTTGCTTGCAAGGTCATGGGGGACTTTGTCAAAGGAAGGCCTTCCTGAAATCCAGATCTGCTCCACCCATAATATTCAAAGCATCTACCCAGTTTGTAACTCTATAGAAAAATAGATAACATTACTCTTGAATTGTTGTTGACTTTTAGTGAAGCCTGTATCAGGCCTGGCTGTTCGGAGTTGTGGAAGTTGAAGTCCAAAACACCAGGAGGGAAGGAGAGCCCAAGCTGGCCCAGGATTCCTGCGCCCCTTCTTTACTTCTTTCCTCCTCTCATTCCTTCTTCTTTCTTTCCTTCCGTCCTTTTGCTTCCTTTTTTCCTTCCTTCCTTCTCCCCTTCCTTCCTTCCTTTTCCTTCTTTCCTTCATTCCTTTTGCTTCCTTTTCTCCCTTCCTTCCATGTCTTTTTCCTTCCTTCTTCCCTTCCTTCTTTACTTCCTTCCTCCTTCTTTACTTCCTTCCTTTTGCTTCCTTTTTCCTTCCTTCCATGTCTCCTTCCTTCTCCCCTTCCTTCCTTCCTCCTCTCATTCCTTCCTTCTCCTTCTTTCCTTCATTCCTTTTGCTTCCTTTTCTCCCTTCCTTCCATGTCTTCTTCCTTCCTTCTCCCCTTCCTTCTTTACTTCCTTCCTCCTTCTTTCTTTCCTTTTGCTTCCTTTTTCCTTCCTTCCATGTCTCCTTCCTTCCTTCTCCCCTTCCTTCCTTCCTCCTCTCATTCCTTCCTTTTCCTTCTTTCCTTCATTCCTTTTGCTTCCTTTTCTCCCTTCCTTCCATGTCTTCTTCCTTCCTTCTCCCCTTCCTTCTTTACTTCCTTCCTCCTTCTTTACTTCATTCCTTTTGCTTCCTTTTCTCCCTTCCTTCCATGTCTCCTTCCTTCCTTCCTCCTCTCATTCCTTCCTTTTCCTTCTTTCCTTCATTCCTTTTGCTTCCTTTTCTCCCTTCCTTCCATGTCTTCTTCCTTCCTTCTCCCCTTCCTTCTTTACTTCCTTCCTCCTTCTTTCCTTCCTTCCTTTTGCTTCCTTTTTCCTTCCTTCCATGTCTCCTTCCTTCCTTCCTTCCTTCTCCCCTTCCTTCCTTCCTCCTCTCATTCCTTCCTTTTCCTTCTTTCCTTCATTCCTTTTGCTTCCTTTTCTCCCTTCCTTCCATGTCTTCTTCCTTCCTTCTCCCCTTCCTTCTTTACTTCCTTCCTCCTTCTTTCTTTCCTTTTGCTTCCTTTTTCCTTCCTTCCATGTCTCCTTCCTTCCTTCTCCCCTTCCTTCCTTCCTCCTCTCATTCCTTCCTTTTCCTTCTTTCCTTCATTCCTTTTGCTTCCTTTTCTCCCTTCCTTCCATGTCTTCTTCCTTCCTTCTCCCCTTCCTTCTTTACTTCCTTCCTCCTTCTTTCCTTCCTTCCTTTTGCTTCCTTTTTCCTTCCTTCCATGTCTCCTTCCTTCCTTCCTTCCTTCTCCCCTTCCTTCCTTCTTCCTCTCATTCCTTCCTTTTCCTTCTTTCCTTCATTCCTTTTGTTTCCTTTTCTCCCTTCCTTCCATGTCTTCTTCCTTCCTTCTTTACTTCCTTCCTCCTTCTTTCCTTCCTTCCTTTTGCTTCCTTTTTCCTTCCTTCCATGTCTCCTTCCTTCCTTCCTTTTCCCCTTCCTTCCTTCCTCCTCTCATTCCTTCCTTCTCCTTCTTTCCTTCCTTCCTTTTGCTTCCTTTTCCCTTCCTTCCATGTCTTCTTCCTTCCTTCTTTACTTCCTTCCTCCTTCTTTCCTTCCTTCCTTTTGCTTCCTTTTTCCTTCCTTCCATGTCTCCTTCCTTCCTTCCTTTTCCCCTTCCTTCCTTCCTCCTCTCATTCCTTCCTTCTCCTTCTTTCCTTCCTTCCTTTTGCTTCCTTTTTCCCTTCCTTCCATGTCTTCTTCCTTCCTTCTCTCCTTCTTTACTTCCTTCCTCCTCTCATTCCTTCCTTCTCCTTCCTTTTTTCCTTCCTTCCATGTCTTCTTCCTACCTTCTTCCCTCCCTTTTTCTTCTTTCCTTCTCTCCTCCTTCCCTCCCTTCTCTCTTTCCTTCCTTCTCCTCCCTTCCTCCCTACTTTTCCGTGCTTCCTTCCTTTCCTCCCTCCTCCTCGCAAACCGGCTCTTCCGCGCATGCGCCTTGCCCGCTCCATAAACCCGAAGTCTTGTTTGGGAGTGCTAAGGAGGCAGGTCCAGCCAGAGGGGCAGCCAGGTGAGGCGAGGCCAGGCCGGGCCGAGGGAGGGAGGGGGCTTCTTTCCTCGACCCTCCGCCCCCCGCCCTATGAGCCAGCCCAGCTTGTCGGCCAGGCCTGGGCAAACTGCGGCCCTCCTTCCTTTCGGGCTGGTTGGGCCTACCACGCCCAGGAGCCATGCCTTGGGCTCCCTCCACCCTTCCTTCCCGCCAGGTGTTTTGCACTCCAACTCCCACAATTCCTAACAGCCGTTAGGAATGGTGGGAGGAGGGCCCAAGTTGGCCCAGGCTGTTCTAGCATCTTCAAAACATGGGGAAAAGTTTATTAAACCGCACAAACTTGGCATTTGCGGGAGTGAGGGACATCCTGATAGAGCACGTTTTGCTCTAGTTTTGCAATGAGGATCGCATCATGTTGTTGTTCATTCGTTCAGTCGTCTCCGACTCTTCGTGACCTCATGGACCAGCCCACGCCAGAGCTCCCTGTCGGCCGTCACCACCCCCAGCTCCTTCAAGGTCAATCCAGTCACTTCAAGGATGCCATCCATCCATCTTGCCCTTGGTCGGCCCCTCTTCCTTTTACCTTCCACTTTCCCCAGCATAATTGTCTTCTCTAGGCTTTGCTTTCTCCTCATGATGTGGCCAAAGTACTTCAACTTTGTCTCTAGTATCCTTCCCTCCAGTGAGCAGCCAGGCTTTATTTCCTGGAGGATGGACTGGTTGGATCTTCTCGCAGTCCAAGGCACTCTCAGAACTTTCCTCCAACACCACAGCTCAAAAGCATCTATCTTTCTTCGCTCAGCCTTCCCTAAGGTCCAGCTCTCACATCCGTAGGTTACTACAGGGAACACCATGGCTTTGACTAGGCCAGTGATGGGCAACCTTTTGAGCGTGGTGTGTCAAAATTCGCAAAAAAAAACCTGAGCATAATTCAGGTTGTGTGTCACTTCAAGAAAAAAACCATAATTTCACAATATTTAGTTTAAAGAACAAAAAATATATAATTGTAATTCCCACTTTCTCTCTTATCATGTTGTTCTACCTCCCTTTATGTAAATAATATCCTTTTTGGAGTGTTTAATAAAAATATAATTTTAAAAACCCAACAAAATATTATTTATTTTTTATTTAATTTAAATGTATTTCTATCATTTAATATGCTATTTAATGTATTTCTAATAATAATAATAATAATAATAATGCAATAACAATAAAGTAACGTTGCAAAATAATATTTTGATATTTAATTTACCATTTCATTTAAGGCATATATATAAAAGGCATATATTAAAAATATTTAAAATGCATTAAATTAAAATGCATTAAATTAAATGTCAAATTAAAATTCAATTTACCATTTCATTTAAGGCATTCTGAAATATTTGAGTAATATAGCAAAGTATTATTTATCATTTAATTTAATTTAAATATGTAACTCCTTAATATTTAGGAAACAATGCAAAATAATATTCCTTTACTTAATAATTAAATAAACCAATATTATTTTGCAATGTTACCTAAATATTAATAATAATTAAATATTTTTAAATTTGACATTTAATTTAATGCATTTGAATATTTGAATAATATAGCAAAGTAATAGTATTTATCATTCAGTTTAAATATGAAACTCCTTAATATTTAGGTAACATTGAAAAATAATAATTTCTTTCCTTATTTATTTTTTTAAATGGCATAAAATAAATAAACAAATAATATCCGGCGGGCGCGTGTCAGTAGAAATGGCTACGCGTGTCAGTACTGACACGCGTGTCATAGGTTCGCCATCACGGGACTAGGCGGATCTTTGTTGCCAGTCTGATGTCTCTACTCTTTACTATTTTATCGAGACTGGACATTGCTCTCCTCCCAAGAAGTAAGCGTCTTCTGATTTCCTGGCCACAGTCTGCATCTGCAGTAATCTTTGCACCTAGAAATACCAAGTCTGTCACGGCCTCCACATTTTCTCCCTCTATTTTCCAGTTGTCAATCATTCTTGTTGCCATAATCTTGGTTTTTTTTTTTGACGTTTAGCTGCAACCCAGCTTTTGCACTTTCTTCTTTCACCTTGATTAGAAGGCTCCTCAGCTCCTCCTTGCTTTTGGCCATCAGAGTGGTGTCATCTGCATATCTGAGGTTGTTAATGTTTCTTCCTGCAATTTTCACCCCAGTCTTGCATTCATCAAGCCCCGCACATCGCATGATGTGTTCTGCATACAAGTTAAAAAGGTTGGGTGAGAGTATCAGCCTGCCGTACGCCTTTCCCAATCTTGAACCAGTCTGTTGTTCCGTGGTCAGTTCTGACTGTTGCTACTTGGTCCTTGTACAGATTCCTCAGGAGAGAGACAAGGGGCTTGGGATGCCCATCCCACCAAGAACTTGCCACAATTTATTATGATCCACACAGTCAAAGGATTTAGAATAGTCAATGAAGCAGAAATAGATGTTTTTCTGAAACTCCCTGCCTTTCTCCATTATCCAGCGGATATTGGCAATTTGGTCTCTCATTCCTCTACCTTTTCTAAACCCAGCTTGTACATCTGGCAACTCTCGCTCCATGTATTGTTGGAGTCTTCCTTGCAGGATCTTGAGCATTACCTTACTGGCATGAGAAATAAGGGCCACTGTACGAAGTTTGAGCAGTCTTTAGCATTTCCCTTTTTTGGTATGGGGATATAAGTTGATTTTTTCCAGTCTGATGGCCATTCTTGTGTTTTCCATATTTGCTGGCATATGGCATGCATTATACTCTCAACCAATTGATGATGATGATGATCGCATCATACTCTCAACCAATTGATGATGATGATGAATAACTATGTGATACAATTTTTGTCCCTGGGTTATCAATGTCATTATTTTCTCATTGGTTCTGTCATCAAAACTGGGGGGAAAGTTTATTAAATTGCACAAACTTGACTTTTGTGGGAGGGAGGGACATCCTGCTAGAGCACACTTGGCTCTCCTGTTGCAATGAATATCTCGTGGTTTTTGTTTTGTTTTGTTTTTTGTCGTGTCAGGAGTGACTTGAGAAACTGCAAGTCGCTTCTGGTGTGAGAGAATTGGCCATCTGCAAGGATGTTGCCCAGGGGACGCCCGGATGTTTTAATGTTTTACCACCCTTGTGGAAGGCATCTCTCATGTCCTCATATAGAGAGCTGGAGCAGATAGAGAGAGCTCATCCGCACTTTCCCCGGATTCGAACCTCCAACCTGCCAGTCTTCAGTTCTGTCGGCACAAGGGTTTAACCCACTGCGCCACCAGGGGCACCAATCTCATGGTGTTAATACCAATTATTATTATTATTAATAATAATAATAATAATAATAATAATGAATAAGGGTCTATCTCATCCAGCAAGGGGACCACACTGGAGAAGGAATAACGATGATGATGATGATGATGATGATGAAGATGATGAAGAATAACTATGTAACACTGTGATATTTGTTCCTGGGTTATCAATGTCATTTCCTAATTGGTTCTGTCATAAAAAAAAGTTTATTTATTAAACTGCCAAAACTTTGATTTTGAAGGAGGGGCATCCTGCTATATGCCATGTTTTGCTCTAGTTTTTCAATGAACATCTCATCATTGAGTCTGAGCCATTTAATAATAATAATAATAATAATAATAATAATAATAATAATAGTGAATAACTATGTAACACTGTGATATTTGTTCCTGGGTTATCGATGTCATTTTGTAATTGGTTCTGTCATAAAAAGTTTATTTATTAAACTACCAAAACTTTGATTTTGAAGGCTATATGCCATGTTTTGCTCTAGTTTTTCAATGAACATCTAGTTTTTCAATGAACATCTCATCATTGAGTCTGAGCCATTTAATAATAATAATAATAATAGTGAATAACTATGTAACACTGTGATATTTGTTCCTGGGTTATCAATGTCATTTTGTAATTGGTTCTGTCATAAAAATGTTTATTTATTAAACTGCCAAAACTTTGATTTTGAAGGGGGGGGGGCATCCTGCTATATGGCATGTTTTGCTCTAGTTTTTCAATGAATTGAGTCTGAACCTAACAACAACAACAACAACAACAATTGTGGCACAAGCCAGTTAAGATGGTCCTAGTGTTGATCAGCACACTGGGTGCAGTGCCTAAAGACCTTGGCATGCACTTAAACACAATTGGCACAGACAAAATTACCATCTGCCAACTGCAGAAGGCCACCTTACTGGAATCTACACGCATTATTTGCCGATATATCACACAGTCCTAGACACTTGGGAAGTGTCCGACATGTGATCCAATACAACAGCCAGCAGAGTGATCTTGTCTGCTGTGGACTCATCTTGTTGTGTTTCAAATAATAGTAATATAATGAATAACTTTGTAACACTGATTTTTGTCCCTGGGTGATCAATGTTGTTATTTCCTAACTTTCTGTCCTGGCTTGTGTTGTATGAAGAAGAAGAGGTAATGGTTCAATGTACTAGTAGTTATGATATAAGTGGGCCTTGGATAATTCATGAAAATGAAACTTCTGCTAGCATGTATATGCTGATTTTCTATCAACGAATGTACAATTGCTTTGTTTTCTATTTTATCATTGCACTTTATCATTCTATTTATTCTTTGTGGTATGAAGAAGACAGGAAATCTGTAGCAGGGAACCAGTGCCAGCAAGATTTTGGAAGGCATTCTTCTTGTTCAGTCATATATTGGCCATTATATTTTTTTTCTCTTCTTGAATTTTGATTTCAGGCGCTTGGCACCCCAATAAAACAGTTGCTCTTAATTACGTAAGATCTTTAATTGTATTTATTTTCCTTGCTCATCTCTTAAGGTCAATCAGTTTGCTTCATGTTGTACCCATGATAGCCTTCAATATGAACACTTAAATGACAGTGATTGAATACCCTTTTCATATCTGACCATGCTGTTTCCTCTGTTAGTGGGACTTTTTGACATCAGTTCGGTTTATTTTTTTGCTAAAACCCATATAATTTGTCTTCCAGATTTTGTTTACTTCATTCCATTTTTTTCCTCCCTGTACAGTTTCATTTAAGTGAGTTTGGAACCCTGGAACTCATTGCAGAAGTTGGAGTGAAAGCCTTCTTGTTAAATACCGATTTACCCATCCTTAACTTGTCTGCCTTTTCTGCTTCCAAATCCGTGTCCATCAATCATCCTGAAGGTGAGCCTGAGAGCGATGGGTAAAATATATAATAGTATCGGAACCTGTGATGTGACTTAAACAAAAGAAAAATATGACCAACCACCCATCAATAGCAGCTGCATTCATCTGTGCAGAAGCTTGCAATATGAAGAAATGTCTGGACTATTTATCATTTTTTGAGCCATCCCCTGCCACGCATTGCTGTGGCCCACTGGTTATCTGGAAAATAAAATAATGAGAAAGTGTTGGTTTCTAATATATGTAATTTCTTTCTGCTTGCGGGTAAACAGTATTTCTTCTTGTTTCTTTGTCAGTGTTGATGGAGAGATTGTCTGGTTTGCCTACTCTGGAACATTCAACATATAATTGGGGGTCTTTAGGGGTCCCTTTTAAATCTATGATACTGTATCTGTCATATACATGTGTGTGTGTGTATCATAAATATCTATCTATATCTATGGCTGGATGGGTCTTTGTCAGGAGGGCTTTGATTATGTTTTCTTGCCCTGGTGAAGTGAGTTGGACTGGATAGCCTTAAGGTATCATTTCTCAGCCTGGGGGTCAGGACCCCTGGGGGTGTAGCGAGGGGGTATCTGAAGGGTCGCCAAAGGCCACCAGAAAACAACATTTTCTGTTGGTCATGGGTGTTCTGTGTGGGAAGTTTGGCCCAATTCTGTCATTGGTGGGCTTCAGATTGCTCTTTGATTGTAAGTGAACTATAAATCCCAGTAACTTCAACTCCCAAATGTCAAGGTGTATTTTCCCCAAACTCCATCTTTGTTCATATTTGGGCATATGGAGTATCCATGCCAAGTTTGGTCAAGATCCTTTATTGTTTGATTCCACAGTGCTCTCTGGATGTAGGTGAACTACAACTCCCAAACTCAACGTCAATGCCCAACAAACCCTTCTAGTGTTTTCTGTTGGTCATGGGAGTCCTGTGTGCCAAGGTTGGTTCAACTCCATCGTTGGTGGAGTTCAGAATGCCCTGTGATTGTAGGTTAACTATGAATCCCAGCAACTACTGTTCCCAAATGACACAAATCATTTTTTTTTTTAGTGATGGTCACTTCTTGGGCTAGTAGGTGTCTTGTGGCCAAATTTGCTGGCAATTCGTCCAGCGGTTTTTGAGTTATGATCTCACTCAGTATATTTTATGTGAGGAATGAAATCAATAACTTTAAAGAGCCGTTTTTGAGCTTTGAAGAGTCACAGTTGGGCCATCATACTCGGTTTCGGTGTAGTTCTAGCAAATTTTGCACAAGGACAACATATTTCTGTTGGGAATGATGGAGCCATATTGTTTGGTTAAGGCACCAGCATGATTCACACATTCTTTCCTATTTCTGTCTGGCAGGATTGGACTGGCTGGCCCAATGCTATATTTCTATGATCCCTAATTGCAGATACATTACCAGGTCAGTTCCATCTTTGGAGCTTGCCAAGGCAAATACAGCCTAGATTAGCTAGACTCATATGTTTTAAAATTATAAAAAGTATCAGTTGTTTGTGAGACATTGCTCCACAGGGAGCACCTCACATCAATGGGCTAAAAGTGGCACAATGAAGTTTAACAGGGACAAATGCAAAAATCTCTACTGTGAGGATACAGAATGGGGGACGATGCCTGGCTCAGGAGCAGGATGTGTGGAAAAGATCTTGGAGACCTCGTGGGGAGGAAGGGGAACATGAGCCAGGAATGTCATTTGGAGGCAAAAAAAAAGCCAATGGGATTTTGGCCTGCATCAATAGAAGTCTAGTGCCTAGATCCAGGGAAGTCATTTTATTCTGCCTTGTTCAGACCACGTTACCTGGAATCACAATGTGTCCCATTCCGGGCATCGCAATTGAAGGGCAGTGTTGACTCTAAGCTGGGATGCATCCAGAGGAAGAGGGAGACTCAAAGGATCAAAGGTCTGGAGAAAAAGCCCTATGAGAAGTGGCTGAAAGAGCTGGGCGTGTTTAGCCTGCAGAAGAGAAGGCTGAGAGAGAGGAAACATAATGAGGCAGGGATCAAGAGGGGAGGAAGGGAAAGTGCTAGGGAGGAAGGAACAGGCTTGTTTTCTGCTGCCCTGGAGACTAGGACTCAATGGAGCAATAGCTTCAAACTACGGGAAAGGAGATTCTACCTGAACATGAGGAAGAACTTCCTAATGGAGAGAGCGTTCAGCAGTGGAACACTCTCTCTGCCCTGGAGTGTGGTGGAGGCTCCTTTGCAGGCTTTTAAACAGGGGCTGGATGGCCATCTGTTGGAGTGGGGGGGGGGGGGGCTTTGAGGGCGATTTTCCTGCTTCTTGGCAGAATGTGGTTGGACTGGGTAGCCCACCAGGTATCTTCCAACTCTAAGATTCTATGAAATGGTGAGGTTTTTAAAAATAGTAATACTAATAACCAGGCACCTCTTTTTGTATTGCACCCAAACAGGGTTTCCAGATCCAAACTTGAAGCCAGTGAAGATAACAGATGCTTTGAACAAATGGACCACTTTGAGAATTTTCTGCAAGAGCATAAAGAAAGGTGATAACTTTGCTCCCTTTGTTTCAGTTTATTTCAAGTACCAAGTTACCACATTGTCATTTGCAAATATTCTCCTATGGTTTAGATGGACTCTGCATACAGGAGGGGTGTTCAGGTTAAACTGGGACTTCTAATTTTACAGGTGTAGAAATGGATGCTACCGTGGTGGTCCTTCCCACCTTGGCAAGTGGCATGTGTGCCTTGTGTTTTATTTTTTATTTATTAAATATTTTTTATTGATGCAGTATATAAATACATAGAAAGTGGGGGAATAATATAAAGAAGATAGCAAAGTAGGAAATATCTTTGAGCACAAAAAATATCAAAACGCGGGGGGGGGGGGGACACCACACACACACACACAAAGAGCAGAACTTGTTCCTGGGTATGCTGGTCTCCTCCAGATGATGGGGGGGGGGGGGAATAAAAGAAAAAGAAAAAAGAAAGAGAAAAAAGGGGGGCTAGAAAAAATTGATTAAAATGACTTCCATCTAGTCTTTGAGGATCTTTATAAACCTTTCCAAAATTACTTATGTGATGTTCCTTCCTTATATATATACTTAGCTGTGATTTGCTCTTTTTAGTAGATATTATCTATTTTCCATTGCCTAAGATGCTCTTTGACTGGGTCCCAGTTTGTGGGTTTTTTTGGGATTCCATGGTTAGGTGTTACCCAGTAGGTTAGTTCATCCATGTTCATTATTTCCAGTATTTTATTGCGCCAGTCTTCTCTTTGGGGTACTTCTTTTTGTCTCCATTTTCTAGCATATACAATCCGGGCTGCGGTAGTTAAATAATGTGCCTTGTGTTTTATGAGTGGCACACATACATGCAGAATCATAGAGTTGGCCATCCAGTCCAACTCCCTGCCAAGAAGCAGGAAAATCACATTCAAAGCACCCCCGACAGATGGCCCTTTTATTTTATCAACTCAGAAGTCCCGGTTTGACTTGAATGGCCCGTGTATATTCCTTATTAGTCGATTTCTTCCAATTCAATAAAAAATATATTATCAAGCTAGAACATGTCCAGACAAGGTCAACCAAAGTGATCAAAGCTTTGGAAACCAAGACCTATGAGAGATGGCTGAGTAGCTGGCTTGGTTTAGCTTAAAGGAAAGGCTGAGAAGGGACGTGATAGCCTTGCTTAAGTATTTGGAAGGATGCCTTATTGAGGAAGGGGCAGGCTTGTTTTCTGCTGCCTTAGAAGCTAGCACATGGAACAATGGATTCAAATGGCAGGAAAAAAGATTCTGAGCTGTTCAATAGTGGAATATGCTTCTTCGGGGCATGGTGGCACGTCCTTCTTTAGGGGCTTTTAAACAGAGACCAGATGGGTCATGTACTGGAAGTGCTTTGATTGGGTGTTCCTGCATTGCAGTGATTTGGATTGGTTAGCCCTTGTGGTATCTTCTGTTGATAAATTGAGATAAAGCACCTTCCTTATCTCAGCTGCTTCGACCTTCCAAGTTTCTATTTGAAGGCATGAACTGGTAAAGACTCCTTAAAAGCGGCATTTTATCTTTATTTCAACAAATATACAAGACAACCTTCAATCATGTCCACTGACATCTCACCACACTGCAAGAAGCACATTTCTCTCGTACCAGAGCACAGGAAGCTCCAAAAGTGACACTCCACCAATACTACACGTCTCTATGTTTTAACCCATGCATTTCTGAAACCACACAGTTTAAACTATAAACAATTTTCATACTAGAAAACATTACATAGTAACACAGTGTTTCTCAATCTTCCTAATGCTGCGGTCCCTTAATACAGTTCCTCATGTTGTGGTGACCCCCAACCATAACATTATTTCCGTTGCTACTGTAATTTTGCTTCTGTTTTGGATTGTAATGTAAATATCTGATATGTGGATGTTTTTTCATTCAATGGACACATTTGGCACAAATACCTGATATGCTCCACTTTGAATACTGGTGCGGTTGGTGGGGGTGGGGGGTGGGTATTGATTTTGTCATTTGGGAGTTGTAGTTGCTGGGATTGATAGTTCACCTACAATTAAAGAGCATTCGGAACTCCACCAATGATAGAATTGACCCAAACTTGGCTACACAGAACTCCCATGACCAACAGAAAATACTGGAAGGGTTTGGTGGGCATTGACCTTGAGTTTGGGAGTTGTAGTTCATCGACATCCAGAGAGCACTGTGGACTCAAACAATGATGGGTCTGTACCAAACTTGGCACAAATACTCCATATGTCCAAATGTGACCTCAGATGGAGTATGGGAGAAATAGACCCTGACATTTGGGAGTTGTAGTTACCGGAATTTATAGTTCACCTACATACAATCAAAGAGCATTCTGAACCCCGCCAGTTATAGAATTGGGCCAAACTTCCCACACAAAACCCCCATGACCAACAGAAAAGACTGTTTTCTGATGGCCATTGGCGACCCTTCTGACACCTCCTTGTGACCCCCCAAGGGGTCCCGACCCCCAGGTTGAGAAATGCTGCCTTAAGCCCATCCAGTCCAACTCCCTTCACCAGGGCAAGAAAACATAACCAAAGCCCTCCTGACAAAGAGCCATCTTAAACCCCCCCCCAAAAACCCACCACATTACAACGCATGCGCAAAACCACACACACACACATATATATATATGCAAACACACATATATACATACAAAACATATATACATAGACTGGGCCTCAGCAATGCGTGGCAGGGGACGGCTAATAATAATAATAATAATAATAATAATAATAAATTGCATGCTAATGCATTTATCTCAAGCTGCTTTGAGTCTCCTTCAGGTGAGATAAAGCGGGATATTATTATTATTATTATTATTAATAATAATAATAATAATAATAATATAATGAGAATCAGATAGAAAGATAAATATTCAGAAATACGCCTAGATGCTTTGCATTTACCTTTAGTTTTATCTGTTTGGTAGAGTCTCTAAGGATATTCCAAGTGACTATGGGAAACAGACAGGTAGTAGCCAGATTAATGAAACTGACAGAAAATCAAAACGCCTTCGAAGGAAGAGAAAACTGCTGTTGGATTCTGACGATGAGGAAGAAAATGCCGATGATGAAGAGGTAATCGATTACATTGCTTTTAATTGAAATGGTGGTCAAGAAACTGTGTTGCATCTTGGAAGTTATCAAAATAACTATATATTTTATGAACTTTTGGAGTTAAAAACAACTTGAAATTTGGAAAATGCTTTCAAGCTGAAAAGCTTCAAATGAAATGCCTGAGAAACGTTCTAACTGTCCAAATTTATGTATTATATTTACATATTTACCTATGTAAATATGTAAATATGTAAATATGGAAATATAATACATAAATTCGGCCAAGTCTCACAAGGTTAACAACAACAACAAAACTCCCACTAAAATAATGATAATGTCATTCATAAGTTTGAAAATCATGATGCGTTTCTGTGTTTCTGTTGTTTATTCGTTCAGTCATTTCCGACTCTTCGTGACCTCATGGACCAGCCCACGCCATAGCTCTCTGTCAGCCGTGGCCACCCACAGCTCCTTCAGAGTCAAGCCAGTCACTTCAAGGATACCATCCATCCATCTTGCCCTTGGTCGGCCCCTCTTCCTTTTTCCTTCCATTTTCCCCAACATCATTGTCTTCTCTAAGCTTTCTTGTCTTGTCATGATGTGGCCAAAGTACTTCATCTTTGCCTCTAATATCCTTCCCTCCAATGAGCAGTCAGGCTTTATTTCCTGAAGTATGGATTGACTGGGTCTTCTTGCAGTCCAAGGCACTTTCAGAATTTTCCTCCAACATCACAATTCAAAAACATCTATCTTCCTTCACTCAATCTTCTTTATGGTCACATCCGTAGGTTACTACGGGGAATACCATTGCTTTAACTATGCGGATCTTCGTGGCTAATGTGATGTCTCTACATTATTTTATCAAAATTGGACATTGCTCTCCTCCCAAGACATTGCTTGGTAGAAAATGCCTCTAGAACATGGCCATATAGCCCGAAAAAACCTACAACAACCCAGTCTTCTGATTTCCTTGTCGCAGTGTGCATCTGCAGTAATTTTTGCGCCTAGAAATGCAAAGTCTGTCACTGCCTCCATGTTTTCTCCCTCTATTTGCCAGTTATCAGTCAGTCCGGTTGCAATAATATTTGGTTTTCTTATGTTTTTGATGCGTTTATATTCACTTGTTAACATATATCTGTGAAAGATATGTTTGTGTAAGAAATTAAAATGTTATATATTTGTGTCTAGGAAAAGAGCAAATTTAATTTGAAAAATCCTAGGAATCTTAAGCCAGTAAAACAAGGTAAGTTCAGGGTCTTATTTTTAGTAATCTATAATAATAATAATAATAATAATAATAATAATAATAAGCTACTTTGGGACTTCCGAATTCAGACAGACAGAGTTTTGAAGCACAATACTCCTGACCTCACAATCATGTTAAAAAACAAAGTATGGATTGTCGATGTTGTAATCCCAGGTGACAGCAGGATTGAAGAGAAACAACTGACATAATATGAGGATTTAAAGATCGAACCGCAAAGACTCTGGCACAAGCTAGTCAAGGTGGTCCCAGTGGTGATCGGCACACTGGATGCAGTGCCTAAAGACCTTGGCCTGCACATAAACACAATCGGCGCTGACAAAATTACCATCTGCCAGCTGCAGAAGGCCACCTTACTGGGATCTGCACGCATTATTCGCCAATGCATCACACAGTTCTAGACACTTGGGAAGTGTCCAACATGTGATCCAATACAACAGTCAGCAGAGTGTCTGCTGTGGACTCATCTTGTTATGTCTCAAATAATAATGATGATAATAATAATAATAATAATAATAATAATAATAATACATCACACAGTCCTAGACGTTTGGGAAGTGTTTGACTTGTGATTTTGTGATACGAAATCCAGCATATAGATCTCGTTTGCTGTGACATACTGTGCTTTTGTGTCAATAATAATAATAATGATGATGATGATGTATTTCCAACCCGCACCTCGCTCCCCGTAGGGTCTGAAAAGCTGCCCTAAATTGTAGTCAAGCCGAATATTTGTAACTCAGGAACTGCCTGTGCCTTGTTTTCCACTGGATGTGCAAGTTCTGTTGTACTACTTCAACATTTTCCATCATATAGAACACATTAAGCTACATTTAAATAATCTTTAAAATCTGAGTAAAAAGGAACAGTGAGAATCCCATTGTAAGAGGTTTGGCACATTTAGCAGACATTGCAAAATAGGCATCAATACTTGGTGTGTAGTTTGTTTAACATGCTTATTTGGCTTTGCTATCTTTTTTGCTGTTTACAAACTTGTACATGTATAAAACTACATTTTGTACTATTATAATTTGAAATTTAAAAAACACAAGTTAGTTCCTCCTTTCTATTTGTGTGTTATTTTACTTTACATAAATGGTTCTCTCTATCAATTTAGTTTCCCAACAAATGGCATTAGAATTATTGAGCTCTCGGTGGCACAATGGGTTAAACCCATGTGCTGGCAGGACTGAAGACCAACAGGTCGGGGATTTGAATCTGGGTAGAGTGCAGATGAGCTCCCTCTGTCAGCTCCAGCTCCCCATGTGGGGGCATGAGCTTCCCACAAGGCTGGCAAAACATCCAGGCAATATCCCTTGGGCATCATCCTTGCAGACAGCCAATTCTCTCGCACCAGAAGGGACTTGCAGTTTCTCAAGTTGGACCTGACACAAAAAAAGTCCAGATACTGTCTATCCATCCATATCATCAAAGAAAAATTGGCAAGGGATAGCCATTGTTTTCTGCCACAATAGCTCTATAGACATGCTGTTTTTACTCTGCCATTTAGTTCACTTCATTTTGTCTGTGGTTTCTCAGATTTTCCTGGGAAGAGCTGTGTATGGAACTGGGTGTCCTATCTAGAAGAAGAACACATGCCAGCTGCTCCACTGAAACTTTTCAGAGAGGTTGGTTGGTGTCCTGTTGAAAGTTTTTCTTTATTTTGATCCCTTGAATTGGTAACTGCTTTTGGACATCCTGACACATGTGGCCTATATTCAGTGTTAATCTCATCAATAGTAAGCTAGAACTGACCAGGAACCTGTTACTTTTCATGTGTTCTTTTGGTAGCTAATAGTTGTGGTTTTTTGCAATAATGAATTGGAATAGTTTTACTTTTTTGCCTCAAACAAACTGTGGGTAAAACTTATTGTAGGTTTTTTGGGGGAGGTTTTTTGTAATTAAATCAGAGTTCCTGCCCTCATTACATATGAGATCTTTGTCCTGACCCAAGCTTAGTGATGGGAGCTGGGGAGAGCAGCAGCCACCAACTAAGAGTGTCTGGTACTGTCATCTCCGGCAACTATGATCTCTGCAAAGCTCCTGTCAGGTTCGAGCCAGTCTCTTCAGCCTCTCCAACATCAAGACCACCCTCTAAGACAGGGGTCCTCAAACTAAGGCCCGGGGGCCGGATACGACTCTCCAAGGTCATTTACCCGGTCCTCGCTCAGGGTCAACCTAAGTCTGAAATGACTTGAAAGCACACAACAACAACAACAACAATCCTATCTCATCAGCCAAAAGCAGGCCCACACTTCCCATTGAAATACTAATAAGTTTATATTTGTTAAAATTGTTCTTCATTTTAATTATTGTATTGTTTTAAAGTGTTTTTTTTGCACTACAAATAAGATATGTGCAGTGTGCATAGGGATTCGGGGGGAGGAGTGAAGGTGCGTTGTGTGTGTGTGTGTGTTTGCAGCGGGGGAGGAGTGAGTCAGGGAAGGAAGGGGTGGGGGGGAAGGAAGGGGGCGTGTCTTACCGGCGTGAGTGTGTGTGTGTGGCGGGGGGTGTGTGTGGGCGGCGGGGGGAGGAGTGAAGGTGCGTTGTGTGTGTGTGTTTGCGGCGGGGAGGAGTGAGTCAGGGAGGGAAGGGGTGGGGGGGGAAGGAAGGGGGCGTGTCTTACCGGGTGAGTGTGTGTGTGTGGCGGAAGGTGTGTATGGGCGGCGGGGGGAGGAGTGAAGGTGTGTTTTGTGTGTGTGTGTGTGTGTTTGCGGCGGGGGAGGAGTGAGTCAGGGAGGGAAGGGGTGGGGAGGAAGGAAGGGGGCGTGTCTTACCGGCGTGAGTGTGTGTGTGTGGCGGGGTGTGTGTGGGCGGCGGGGGGAGGAGTGAAGGTGCGTTGTGTGTGTGTGTGTGGACGCGGCGTGACCAGGGTAAGATGAAGGAGGGGGAGGAGGGATGGTTTTGACAGGGCGGGAAACAGCGTGGCGGGGCTTGGAGTGGGCGTGGCTTCCGCGGAGGGAACGTTGGCCGGCAGGCCGTGTGCGCGCGCCAGGGAACTTGCGGCTGGGTGCCATTGCACATGCTCAGTTGTTTTGTCGTTTTGTGAGTGTGTTGTTGTGTTGTTTTTCATTTTGATTTGGATTGTTTGTACCTAGTGGGTTGTGTTATGGGTATGGAAATTTTGGTTAAGTTTCGTTGGGGGTTTTTTGAGTTTTGCTGCTCCGTTCGACGCCATTTTTATATATATAGATAACCTGCACCTTGAATTGGGACCGGAAACCTATCGGTAGCCAGTGGAGCTGTTTAAACAGGGGGGTTGACCGCTCCCTGTAACTTGCTCCAGTTAACAATCTGGCCGCCGACTTTGCACCAGCTGTAGTTTCCAAACTGTCTTCAAGGGCAGTCCAACGTAGAGTGCATTACAGTAGTCCAATCTTGAAGTAACTAAGGCATGGACCACCATGGTCAAGTCAGACTTCTCAACTTTTTCCTGATGGAAAAAGGCTTAAGATGAATGTTATATGTGATGCAGCCAAGACATTTATAGCCTTGGGAGGGTTGGTGGGGTTACCTCCAAAGAAATCTTTGCCTAGTGATTCTAGAAGTTTCTGAAGAGGCACTACGCAGGTGTAGTAAAACCCAGTTGTGTGAATTCACAGAAGTACAGTTACAAGGAGGCAATCTGTCCTAACCCAAGTTCACCCATGGGGTTTCTATCAGTGAGTGTCAAGCGACCTTATGAAAAAGGAATCTATATCAGGCCTGGGCCAACTTTGCCCCTCCCTCCAGGTGTTTTGGACTTCAACTCCCACAATTCCTGGCTTTAGGCCCTTTCCTTTTCCCCCTTAGCTGCTTAAGTTGGCCCAGGCCTGATCTATATGATAACAATTGGTCTTTTACTTATGTAGACTGTTGACATTGTAACAAGGTTATATTTGTATAAAAATAAACATTTCTTTTTTTATTCTTTTTGTTGCAGTCTCAATCATTCCCACAAAACAAAAATGGATTTAGAGTTGGAATGAAATTGGAGGGCCTCGATCCTGAACATCCATCTTTATTTTGTGTCCTTTCTGTTGATGAGGTATTTGCCTGTCTTTGTAATTTAACTAACCCTGTTTAAAGGCATGGGCCAAAGTTTGTCCATGCCTGTTTTATCGTTATTCCTTTAATGTCTTTTCCAGCTGTTCTTGCTCTGTGCAGTACCTCTATCACTAATAGAAACAATAGTGGTAAAAGAGAATATCCTTACCTGGTTTCTTTCTCTATTTTACACGGGTTTGTCAGATCTGCATTAATCAGGATGTGAACACTTTGCTTGTCTTGGATCTGCTTTATCTATTCTTGAAAATTTGGTCCAAAATGCTTGTTCTCCATGACAGCCACTATACATTGTCAAATGTTTTTTCAGCATTTAAAAAATTTCATTATGAGCCTCGTAATATTCTAAAATGTCCAAACATGTCTAATATTGTCACTTTGGTTCCTCTTTGATAGAAACCTGGCTTGGTCCTTACATTTTAAAGTCTGGTGAGACCTCTTTCCTAGAATTGCAGCTAGAAAAAATATTCCTTTGCTTGACTGTATTTGTATCTCCAAGCACCCTGAAGTGCAAGATTGTCAATTGCAGGCAGCCCCCAAGTTACAAACAAGATAGGTTGTGTATATTTGTTCTTAAGTTGAAATTGTATGCAGATTGGAACAGGTACATTTCCTTAGTGTAACTGCAGACAAATATATTGATATGGCTTCAGTAGAGACACCTTTCTGCATGGTAACTCTGTTCTGCTTATGAGTTGGATGTTTGTAACTCAGGGATTGCCTGTCATTCGAAGAAGGATTTTGGAAGTTTCCTTTGGTCTCCTTCAAACTTTTTTTCTAAAATAATTTGTCCAGTTGTATTGATATCACTCCATTCAGTCTCCCATTATTGTTGTATTTTCATAGGAACAATTGTTAAATTTTGTTAGCAAATTTTGATACTACAAACCCCGGAATTCCGCATGAGGCACTGCCCACAGCAGTGATTGATGGCAGATATACGGGCACCCCTCTGGCTCTTCGTTTATGTGTTTGCGGGGCCCCGGAAATTGAGGATCTGCCTCACTATTTGCTTTTCTGCCCTTTGTATTCTGATCCAAGAACCAAAATACTCGGGTTTATTCTTCACCTCCTTCAGACCAACACTGTGTCTGAAAAGATTTTTTATCTCTTGGCCGACACTAACCCCGTGGTTACTCAAAAGGTGTCTCTTTTTGCCCTGGCAGCACAGAAAATCCGGGCAAAACTAATCTCTGATATTGCAGTTGACTGTGCTGGGGATGCTTTCAGCTACAAGATTCAAGCACTCTTTTTGTTTTCAAAGTTAATTTTTATTGGTATAGTGTATAGTTACATAGAAAGTGGGGAAATATTTCAAAGGAGATAGAAAAGTAGGAAGTAAAGTTAGAACAAAAAGAAAATGCCCCCATCCAGAAAAACCTGGGGGGGGGGGGGAGAATAAACAATAAAAAGAAAAAAAGTATATAGGAAAGGTTTTTGTTGGACTTCCATCTATTCTTTGAAGATCTTTCACCAATTTTCACAGATACAGTAATAAAAAAAATAGCTTCCTTATTCTGTTTCTTCTCTAATATTGTTTAATACCTTTCAAAAAATAATCTCTATTTTTTGTTTTTTGAAATAACTTTTTATCAAATCCCAGTTTGTACGCTTCTTTGGGATTCCTTCATTCGGCGACAACCAATATGTTAATTCGTCCATATTCATTATTTCCAATATTTTGTTTTGCCAGTCTTCTCTTTGGGGTATTTCCTTCTGTCTCCAGTTCTTAGCATACACAATTCTAGCTGCGGTGGGTAAATAATTGAAAATTATATCCATGTTTTTGTCTCCTTCAAAATCGAGCATTCCGAGCAGGATGAACTCTGGTTCCTTTTTTATTTGCATTTTCAAGATTTTTTGTATATCATTATATACCATACTCCAGAATTCTTTAGCTTTTGGGCAAGACCACCAAGTATGGAAGAAGGACCCTATATGCTGTTCGCATTTCCAACATTTGTTAGAGCAATTTTTATAAAATTTTGAAAAATTTTGTGGTGTGATGTACCATCTGTGGATCATTTTGAGTAGGTTTTCTTTTAAATTGTAAGAGTAGGTATACTTAATTTTTTGATTCCAGATTTTCTCCCACTGATTGAGATTTATTTGGTGGCCTACATTTTGTGCCCACTTAATCATTGATTCTTTAATCTGTTCTCTTTCTATAGCCCATTCTAGAAGTTTTTTATACATTTTTGTAATTATTTTATTGTTCGTCTTCATGATACTGTCCCAGAAGCTATCTTTGTCCACAAAATTTAATTCCCTATCTGTTTTGTAGCAGTCTATCAGTTGTCTGTAGTTTAGCCACGATAGATTGGCAAAGTTTTCTTTCACCTCTATTTCTTCTTTTAACACATAGTTCTCTCTTACTTTCTTTAGAACATCTCTGTACACAGGCCAGGACTCCCAGCCTAATTCCTATGAAATGCTTCGAGGGGTGACAGCCAAAGTGGTGTGTTGTTATATAGTCTTTTTTTTGTATCTTTCCCAAATTTTAATTAGTCCCACTCTTATATAATGGTTGTTGAATTTTCTTTCTATCTTAGTTTTATCATACCACAAATAGGCATGCCACCCCTCCTTAAGTCAGCGCCTTCTAATGTCAGTAAATTTCTTTTTTTTTTTTAGGGTAGTCCAGTCTTTTATCCAGCTCATTCCACAAGCTTCATAATAAGTTCTTAAGTCTGGAAGATCAAGTCCACCCCCTTTTTTTTCATCAATTAATATTAGACGCTTTATTCTTGGCTTTTTTCCTTGCCATATAAATTTGGCAATGTCTGTATTCCAAGTATTAAAGATGTTAAAGTTTCAGATTATTGGTAGAGATTGAAATTAAAATGACATTTTTGGCAAGATATTCATTTCAATCGCTGAGATTCGGCCTAATAGAGATATTTTCAAATTCTTACAATTATCTAAATCTTTCTTAATTTCCTTCCATTTTTGTTCGTAATTATTTTTCATCAGTTGAGAGTTTTTGGCTGTCAGTATTATGCCCAGGTATTGTATTTTCTCTGTTATTTGAAATTCGGTTAGTTCTGCAAGTTCATCTTTTTTCTTCTTCGATACATTTTTTGTTAATAACATCATCTTTTTCTTAATGATTTTCAAACCTGCTACTTTTCCATATTGTTCAAATTTTAGCAGGCAATTTTCAATTGGGTTTTTTATAATACAGATTATATCATCTGCAAAGGCTCTTATTTTGTAGTTTTCCTTATTGATTTTGATGCCTCTTAGGTTAGTGTCAGCTCTTATACTGTTTAGTAGTATTTCTAATGCCAATATAAATAGAAGGGGTGACAATGGGTACCCTTGTCTTGTTCCTAGGATTCAAGCACTCTTTACCACTCTTTAAGCTGTAGTACGAGATCCAGTAGGATTCTGAAAAGTTACATATGTTTTTAAAATTTGTATTACTTACTTACTTAGGCGATCCTTCGTAGCCTGTGGATGATGGCCTTCCAAGTGTAGTGTCCTGGCGGTGGATACGTAGGTAGCTGTGGATGTCAGTACCTGGCAGATTTTAGAATAAAAAATGAGCTCACAAGGAAGGTTCCTTGGACACACATTTATTATTCAGTCTCACCAAGCAAAACAAAAGCTAGTTCTGACCCTTTCCCGCCAAAGCTGAAGTATTTCACCTAACTACCCCACACACCCCTTCCTTATCTATTCTAACGGTTACATTCCATTCCCACAGAACATGTAGCATCTTCTCAGCCCCCCCCCCTCCCACTTTTGTCCAGATGGCCCTTATCAGCCTTCAATAATTCACTCCTAAGTGTCAGGAAGGGGACGGCAGCTTTTTGTTGACTTAAGCTCGAACGGACACATCCTGACATGACTCCCCCTCTGAAAAAGATGGTCCTGCAGAGAGAGAAAAGCAAAAAGGTAATCAAGTCAAGGACCCAGTTTGTGGGGAAAGGACTTGTGAAACAGTTTCATCAATCTGGGGGTCCTGACGTGTTCAGTAGCTACCCACTCTGGATGTATGGCCCGAGAGGTCCACAGGACCTCTAAGAGTCTAAGATGTCTTTAATCTCAAAGTGGGTGTGGGCCCCAACTATGATAGGCACTGGATCTGAGTCAGGCTTAGTCCACTTGTGTGTAGTGCATGCTTTTTTTAGCAGGCTGACATAAAAAACAGGGTGGACCTTTTTCCAGGTGTGAGGCAGTTGCAACCGCACTGCTACATGGTTAATCAATCCGGAGACAGCGAAGAGCCCCATGTATCTGGGTCCCAATTTCTGGGACAGCTTTGTAGACCTTGGGTATTTTCTGGACAGGTATACCATGTCTCCTACTTTAAAGTCTGGCTGAATGGCTCTTTTTCGGTCAGCAAATTTTTTGTAGTCTTGTTTTGCCAGGTCTAAAGCATCTTTGATCAGACACCATGAGGCTGCCACTTTAGCACCCCACTCATTTGGGGTTTCCTCCCCCAAAGTCTGTTGGCTGAGTGCAGGGAATGGGGGAAAATCTCTGCCCCCACTGCCTTAAAAGGGGAAATCCCAGTTGAGGCATGATCTGAATTATTGTAGCAATATTCTGCCACATCCAACAGGGAGACTCACTGGTCCTGCTAGTAGGTAGAATAACATCTCAGGAACTGTTGTAAAGTCTTTTGAACCCGCTCGGTCTCCCCATCTGTTTCAGGGTGAAATGCTGTGCTCAAAGCCCTCTGTCCCCAGCATATTAAGAAAAGACTTCCAGAACCGTGATGTAAATTGAGGGCCCCTGTCTGTCACAATTCTCTATGGACACCCATGTAACCTGAAGACATGATGTGTGAACAACTTAGCAAACTCAGGGGCAGAGGGGAGCCTTTTGAGGTGTATGAAGTGTGCCTGTTTGGAAAACAGATCGATCACCGTCCAAATGGTGTTGTATCCATTACTTTCAGGTAAATCCACTACAAAGTCCATAGCAATCTCAGTTCATGGCTGTGTAGGGTTCGCCACCATTTGAAGCAGCTTACCCACTTTTTGTTTGGTCTTTGCACAAACCGAGCACTCCTGTAAGTAATCTTTTACATCTTTACGCAATGTGGGCCACCAAAATTGACAGGCTATTAGCTTTAGAGTCTTTGTAAACCCAAAGTGGCCTGCCAGCTTGGAATCATGGTGCCAGCACGTTATCCCGGTTGCATGCCGGTACATAGTATTTTGGACTTAAGCTCGAACAGACACATCCTGACAGTGGAGCCCTATTCTTGACCCGCATGTGCTTCTGCAGTGAGGACATTGGTTTCCAGGTGGAAGGCGGTTCCAGTCAGGGTTGGCTTGACGTGCCTTCCTCTTGACAGGTTTCTCCCTTTTGCCCTCCATTTGTGTCTCTTCAAATTCCACAGAACTGCTGGTCACAGCTGTCCTCCAGTTAGAGCACACAAGGGCCAGGGCTTCTGAGTTCTCTCTCGGTGTCTATGCCACCGTTTGTAAGATTAGATTCAAGCCCATCTTTCAATCTCTTTTCCTGCCACCAACATTACATTTTCCGTTCTTGAATTGGGAGTAGAGGAACTGCTTTGGGAGACGGTCTTTGGGCATTTGGACAACATGGCCTTCAGTCCAGCAGAGTTGATGACATAGGAGTATCGCTTCAATGCTAGTGGTATTTGCTTCTTCCAGCACGCTGACATTTGCCTGCCTCTCTTCTTCCCAAGAGATTTTCAGGAGTTTTCGGCGGCAACACTGATGGAATTGTTCCAGGAGTTCAGTGTGACGTCTCTAGACAGTCCACGTTTTGCAGGTGTATAGCTGGGTTGGGAGAATAATAGCTTTATTGTGTTGGTCTCCCTATGGATATCCCTGTCCTCAAACACTCTCTGCTTCATTCGTAAAAATGCTGCGCTTGCAGAGCTCAGGCGTTGTTGTATTTCAGTGACAATGTTGACTTTTGTGGAGAGGTGGTGGCCAGGGTAGCTGAAATGGTCAACATTTTCTAATGTTACACCATGAAGCGGTATTTCTGGCATTGCAGAGGGCTTGTACCTTTTGCTTAAAGAACACTTTGGTTTTCTCGAGGTTCAATGAGAGGTTGAGCTTCTGGTATTCTTCTGCAAAGGTGTTGAGAGTGGCTTGTAGGTCTTCTGAATGCGCACAGACTATCTTATCATCAGCATATATTATCTAATAGTTATTTCTCTCTTTTAAACATTTAATATCTAATGTTTTTTAATATAATTTTTATTGATAAATAACATAAAAGACATTAAACAAAAATGACTTTGTACACACAATAATTAAAATATCATATACATTCCTAAGATATTGATTTTGATACAGTGAAAGTAGGAGAACATCAAAAGAAGAAAGTGTAAAGATTGAAAAGAAAACAGCGAGAGAGAGAGAAAACAATTATACAAGACACTGACATTATAGACATTTAATATCTAATGTTAATTGTCGCAAGTTCAAAAGGATTCAGTCCAAAATGAGAATATTTTAACTGTATTGTTCTTTATTTCCAAACGAGAGGGCTTTCAAAAGGGATAATAATGTGTTGCCTTCCATTTGCAGGTGCAGGGGTACAGAATGAGGTTACATTTTGATGGTTATTCTGAGTGCTATGATTTCTGGGTTAATGCGGACTCTCCGGACATTCATCCTGTTGGATGGTGTGAAAAAACAGGCCATAAGCTGCTCCCTCCTAAAGGTATTTACCTACCTATATAATCATCACCTTTCCTAGATGCAAAGCCTGTAAGCGTGGCAGCATGGCTACACTAGCCAAGTAAAGTGGAGGAAAGAGTTTACAAGACTACGTCTGTCCAAATATATATGTAAAATACATGAAATACTTGCATGGCAAACTAGGGCACAGCATTTTATCCGAAATCGGCCTTAAATTGTTTATTAAATTATTACATTTATTATTTACTCTATTTATTATTATTACATTTATTATTTACTCTATTATTACTATTTATTATATTACCCTATTTATTATTGTTATTATTATATTTACATTATTTGACTCTGTTATTATTATAATTTGAAACACAAGATTAGTACACAGCAAACAAGGTCACTCCGCTGGTTGTTGTTATTTTACTCGCTTTTATGATTATTGGAAGGCTATATAAGCACACTTACACTAAAGGAGGTTAGAATAATGGTTTAATTAGAGTTGGACAGACTTATCTTAAATTGCAGTTTTATGTGAATATTCAAAAGCATTTAAGCCACTGATGCTTCAATTAATGTAATTTTATTGGTATCTATTTTAATTTTGAAATTTACCCATAGCTGGTGCATTTCCCTCCCTTAGCTAAGACTCGAGTCAATACATTTTCCCAGTGGTAAAATTAGGTGCCTCGGTTTATATTTGAGTCGGCTTATACTCGAGTATATACAGTATATATCTCCTTCTTTTCTTCCAAAAAGACACTCAAAGTGGCTTTTGTGTATTTAATAAGCCAACTGTGCAAAACAGAACACCATGCAAACAGAAACATAGACATATTAATACTAGGAAGAGTTCTGCTGTCTTAGTATCTGAGATGGATCAATATCTTTCTTTTACAATACGTGTACAATTGAAATTAGCTATTGGGAGTTTTAGGGGGGGGGATTGTGGTTTTTAACTTTGAATATGTTTTAATGGATTTTACCTGTGAATGTTTAATACTGTTCTGTTTAATTCTGTTTCAATGTTTGCATATTTGTATATTTTAAATTGTATGGCCATACTTGTGATGTAAGCTGCTTTGAGTCTCCTTCATGAGAAAGAAAGTGGGGTATAAATAAATAAACATAATAATTATAACTCATGCAATACCTTAAAACCAGCTATTATTCCCAGCATCTGAGAATACTTAATATCGTGGAAATATATGCTAATTGTTAATTTACCAGGTTCTTATTGATTAAACACTTCCACTGTACTTGGGATCCACAACTGGATTAAATCCATACATATATGTTCTCAAGGAAATCTTATAGGACAGAAAATAGCATGTGTCTGTGTGCGTGCACGTGTGTGTATACACTCACACACAGTTGGCCCTCCATGTCCATGGGTTCTTCATCACAGATTTAACCAACCTTAACTTGAAAATATTTGGGTGGAAAACCCAAATAGCAAATCTTGTTGAGCATTAATGTGTTGCTCTATCCTGCTTTAGCCCCCCACCATTGTACAGGTGCTTAGGCTCTCTTTGGTCCTCGTTTGAGTGATTTAGTATAAGGCAGTGGTTCTCAACCTTTCTAATGTCGCGACCCCTTAATACAGTTCCTCATCTTGTGGTGACCCCCAACCATTAAATTATTTTGTTGCTACTTCATTTTTTTTACATTTTTAAAAGATATTTTTATTATGTTATACACACAGATCAATAAGCCAAATTCCAAGTGTTACACATATAAATCCTGAGTAATTCAACAAATATTAAAGACATTATGCTAATTTACACTGGTGTATATTACATTATCTCCACTTTCCCTCCCTCACCCTCCCTCCCTCACCCTCCCTCTTCAACCACAGTATATTTCTAGCTAATCTTGCAGATCCAGCCACTGGTAGAGTCTTTGTATTTTTTCTTTGATGTGATCGTTGGCTCCTCCATTTTTCACCCAGTTGAAGTAGACCTTCCATCTATTTGTAATGATCTTTTCTTTGTCCATTCTTGGTGTTTGCTTAGTCATAATTCCCGTAATATCTAACAGCACTTGGTCATACATATAATCATTCCAATTACTTAACGTCCATTTCGATTTGTCTTTCCATCCTCTAGCAATCACCGCATGGGCTGCTCTTATTGTTACCTTAAATAACTCCTGGCAATTAGTTATTATACTCGGATGATCCAACACTCCCCAAAGTAGCAAATCATTATTAATTTGAATTTTTATCTGGAATATCTCCTGAATTTTTCCTTGTATCATTTGCCAGATTTTTTTTATTTCAGAACACTCCCACCACATGTGTGAGTACCTTTTTCTTTATTACAAAGCCAACACTTCGAATTCTTAAGCCAATTGTTCAGGAGTTCTATACCATCTTAATATCATCTTTTTTTTCTAATTCATTATATTTTTCTATTTTTATTTTATTCATGTTCCTAATTATTTCCTCTATTTCTTTTTACAGTCTTTTGTCTGTAATGATTTAACTCCATTCCATTTGTTACTTATTGCTCTAATCATAAACTCTTTATCTTCTACCATTAAATTATATATTTTGCCACTGTTCCTTTACTTGTCTTTTCTCTTGCATTTAGCAATTTATCTACCATTAATTCTTCAGTGGGCTGTGCACCCTCTTTTTTTACATTTTCCCAAATCCCTCTTAATTTTAACCAATTTCCCCCCCCCCCTTTTCAAAAAACTCTGGCAAATTAATCTCTCCATCTTGTTCCCACGTATCTTTTACCCTCCTTAATCCCTTTTCTTCTAAGTTATTTGCTAACCTTTCGGGGAGACCCATGCTCTTAATTGGGGTCTTTCCTGATATTTTATATGCCCATAGTTTTTGCCATTTTTACCAACAGTCATATGCTACCTTTCTCGGTCCTTTTAGATTTTCCTTTATTTTGTTAATATCTCTGGTGTATGACCCGTATTTTCCCCATCCTACATTTATTTCATTCTCTACTTTTATCCATTTATATTCTCCCTTTAAACTTATTTCTAGTAGTGCTCTTATTTGGAAAGCCTCATAATAACATTGTAGATTTGGAAACCCCCATCTGAGAGTTCTCCTTGGGATATATTGAATCTTTTTCATTATTCTGTTTCTCTTTTTCCCATATATCCATTCTCTCAAAGTGTTGTCCCAGTCTTTTAATTCTTTATATTCTATTTTTATTGATAAAGTTTGGAAAAGATAGTTTGAGAAATTATGTCATGAATGACTTTTCAATAACTTTGAAGCATAGGTTCTTTTTATTGCAATTTTCAGTGTGAGAAGGTATATCAGATTACAGAAAACATTTAGACAAAGAATGACATTGGACATACAGACATACAGATTCTATGCAACTACATTGGATTCACAATTACATTGGTTAACAAACAAACATAGGGGAATTACATTTTCACTCAGCATTCACACACATTCATCCACATGCATCCAAATATTACCATATCATTTTCTCCCTCCTTGGAGAAGCACCTGTTAGGCCAGACCCTGATTTCCTGCAGCCTGCCAAAGCAGAGTTCCAAAACTTCCATAACGCCATAACTTCAAAACGCTGAAATACCAAAACTTCTTTCCCTAAGCACAATGCCAAGGACCAGATCTCTGTTTTCCATACAGCAGAACCTGATTCCCTGCACAAAATCCAAGACTCCAAAAGTGCACTTCTTCCTCTTCCCTTGAGAAAGAAGCCCCAAAGTGTCCAGAATCATGCTTTCCCATAGCATATCTGACTCTCTCTGAATACACCACCTCTGTCCTTCCCATGGAGCAGAGCATGGTGGGTGGAACAGACTCCTCGGTCTGCCACGATTTGAGCATTATTAGCCTGAGTCTTTTATAGGAAAATTCTGTTGATGTAGTCCCAAAGTTGTAAATTAACGATAGACATCTTCCATCCTGGATCCATCACAGTTTCCTGACCAGATGTTGATCTTCTTGATTGGTGTTGATCTTATGTTGACTTCCTTCTTAACATAAGGAAGGTTGCAAACATTTCCTTTATCACTGTCCCATTCTTATCACAGTTTACTCTTCAGGTCTCATTAACAGGTTTTAATCACAAAGCAGCAAGCAGGTAGTTAGTCATTGCAGGCCTTAATATTATACTGGTGTTCCCAAAATTATTAACTCCATCCATACAACTTCCATTCTTCCATTCATTCCCACACATCATATTAAATTCACATTTATCAAATTTGCACATTGAATTTCTTATTACATATTCCCCCTCTTGCATATAGATTTCATTTTTAAATCTATATGCAACATATAGTAAAGTAACTTCTAAATTTCAGTTGAATCAAAATCTCATTTTCTTGAAACAGAAATACATTTTCACAATTACAATTACAAGTAACAATATCATCATCATTACAATCGAATGCACGATTTCATATAAACTGAACTTTTGCATATAAACCTTCAAAACATTTGATCAATTATGTAAGAACCTTTCTTCATATGCACAACATCTAAAACCATGTTGTTCCCAAATGTTTGTTTCCTTCTTTGTTCATTTTCATTACATTTCCATAGCAAAACTTTATTTAACTTTATTTCTCATCAACAAACTTTCAAATATATCACATTTCTTTTGACTGCCCATGTTTGTAACCCATATACCATTTATTGTTTTATTTCCTGTAAAAATCTATGTATCTGAACCCAAATTAAGGTATCCAAAATGTTTCATTTACTAAACCACCACTGTATCACATTTCCCTTATATTTTCATGAATTATTTAATAAAAACCATAAACAAACCACATTTTCCCATGTATATGTTTCCCCAACATCAATATAAACCTTTCAAATCTAAAACCTCTATTTAATAGTAGAACTTACTTCAATCTTAGATTAACCGTGTGTGTGTGTTTTGAACTCATTTCCAACTTGTCCATGCTGAAAAGCAATGTTTGCAATTCCTTTCCCCCATAACATCAATTCTCTTGAAATGAGCACATTCTGTGACTCAACATCCCCAAATTCCCAAACTGCTTTGTTGTTCCAGAAGTCTGAGACTTGTAGTTCTGGCCTCTGAAATAACTTGCAGCATTGCTTAACCCCGTTAACACTTTAAGAAACCTTTAGCTGAATGTTTATTTTCTGTTCCTCTTTAAAACTTCTTAAATCTTATAAATCACAACAATAAATATGCACTGTTCAAAATTAAAATTATCAAACTCATGGCAATTTCTTCATCAGGTCTTCTTTTGAGTTGGTAGCTAGTACATTTAGATTCCTGTAAACTTAAACAAGTCATTTTAATTAATCGCTTGCGCCAGGTTTGAAAGGCTTAGACTTGATTTCATCACTCCAGCTCTCCTGTAATCAGTAACTTAGATAAACAGACAGAATTAACAAAAGTTAACACTTTCTGATAAAGCTCCCAAATTGGTTGTAACAAATTCCTTTAAACAAAATCTCTCTGTATCTATTTCATTTTCCTCTTTTGCAATAACAAAACTCCAACTAATTTATTATATTTTCTAGGAAATTCAAATGAGTTGGATTTTCCAAAATAACACAAAACCCTATTTACTAGGCTGATCAATCTACTTCTAAACCAAAATGCAGCTCATCTGCCTTTACCAATTTGCAAATTCATATCTCCAATTACCTTTTTATTTCAACCATAAAGTACCCCCTCTAGATAATATAATAATACCATTTTGTAACAAGCACCTTATTTTCCTTTATAATCACCAAGACTCCTCCTGTACCAAAACTTAAAATACATTTAGATCTCTTTTTCTACATTTCAAGGGTCAAAACACATTTATCAAATTTGCACATTGAATTTCTTGTGACGGTTTTACTTCCCTAGATCTAGACCAGTGGTTCTCAACCTTCCTAATGCCGTGACCCCTTAATACAGTTCCTCATGCTGTGTTGATCCCCAACCATAAAATTATTTCCATTGCTACTTCATAACTATAATTTTGCTCCTATTATGAATCATAATGTAAATATCTGATATGCAGGATGGATTTTCATTCACTGGCTCAAATTTGGCACAAATACCCATATACCCAAATTTGAATACTGGTGGGGTTTGGGGTGGGTTGATTTTGCCATTTGGGAGTTGTAGCTTTTGGGATTTATAGTTAACCTACAATCAAAGAGCATTTTGAACTCCACCGACAGTGGAGTTGAACCAAACTTGGCACACAGAACTCCCACGACCAACAGAAAATTCTGGAAGGGTCTGGTGGGCATTGATCTTGAGTTTCGGAGTTGTAGTTCACCAACATCCAGAGAGCACTGTGGACTCAAACAATGATGGATTTGCACCAAACTTGACGCAAATACTCAACATGCCCAAATGTGAGCACTAGTGGAGTTTGCGGAAAATAGACCTTGACATTTGGGAGTTGTAGTTGCTTGGATTTATAGTTCACCTACAAAGAGCATTCTGAACCCCACCAATGATAGAATTGGGCCAAACATCCCACACAGAACCCACATGACAAACAGAAAACATTGAGAAACGTTGGTATAAGGGATGCTGTTTTATGATGCCACTGTCTATAATGGGACTTCAACCATCACAGATTTTGGTATTCACTGGGGCCCTGGAACAAAAACCCCATGGATCCCAAGGGCCATTGTAGTTTATAATTTCAGAAAAGGTTTTGCAAGACAAAAGAGAAAACTTTGACTGGAGCCAGGCATTGAAACTTTTAAAAGAAATTGAAATTCATAATAGGAATTAGAAATGTTCAGTACCTTCTGAATTGCAATGAAGTTTCAGATTAATTACTACCAACTGCAATGGCTTTTGAAAATATAGGATAAAAGGAGAGTGGTATTAACTGAAACCCACATATTATTATGATGTTTGTTTATATCCCCTTTTTTCCATAAGGAAACTCCCAAGTGGCTAAAATTTAAAACATTACAATACCATTTCAAATATGCAAATACTTGTACATTGCCCCAGTGGTGCAATGGGTTAAACTCTTGTGCCAGCAGGGCTGCTGTCTAAAATGTCAGTCGTTTGAATCCGGGGAGCAGAGTGAGCTCCCATCTGTCAGCTCCAGCTCCCCATATGGGGACATGAGAGGAGCTTCCCATAGGATGGTAACACATCTGGGCAACGTCCCTTGGGAAACGTCCTTGCAGATGGCCAGTTCTCTCACACCAGAAGCGACTTGCAGCTTCTCAAGTCGCTCCTGACACGGAAAAAAATCCTAAAACAGTATTAAACATCAGTAGTATTATAACGATATATAAGTCCTGCCTGTTCCATAAGGGTCACTGTCATACAAATTCAAACTTCTCCCCTCACCATGTCTGAAAAGCACTCTGTTTGTACCAATGTGTTGTTGTTGTTCATTCGTTCAGTCGTCTCCGACTCTTCGTGACCTCATGGACCAGCCCACGCCAGAGTTCCCTGTCGGCCGTCACCATCCCCAGCTCCTTCAAGGTCAGTCCAGTCACTTCAAGGATGCCATCCATCCATCTTGCCCTTGGTCAGCCCCTCTTCCTTTTGCCTTCCACTTTCCCCAGCATAATTGTCTTTCTAGGCTTTGCTGTCTCCTCATGATGTGGCCAAAGTACTTCAACTTTCGGTTCTTGTGGGTTTTTTCAGGCTATATGGCCATGTTCTAGAGGCATTTCTCCTGACGTTTCACCTGCATCTATGGCAAGCATCCTCAGAGGTGAGTATGCTTGCCATAGTGCAGGCGAAACGTCAGGAGAAATGCCTCTAGAACATGGCCATATAGCCCGAAAAAACCCACAAGAACCGAGTGATTCCGGCCATGAAAGCCTTCGACAATTACTTTAACTTTGTCTCTAGTATCCTTCCCTCCAATGAGCAGTCGGGCTTTATTTCATGGAGGATGGACTGGTTGGATCTTCTCGCAGTCCAAGGCACTCTCAGAACTTTCCTCCAACACCACAGTTCAAAAGCTCAGCCTTCCCTAAGGTCCAGCTCTCACATCCGTAGGTTACTACAGGGAATACCATGGCTTTGACTAGGCGGATCTTTGTTGCCATTCTGATGTCTCTACTCTTTACTATTTTATCGAGACTGGACATTGCTCTCCTCCCGAGAAGTAAGCGTCTTCTGATTTCCTGGCCACAGTCTGCATCTGCAGTAATCTTTGCACCTAGAAATACAAAGTCTGTCATGGCCTCCTCATTTTCTCCCTCTATTTTCCAGTTGTCAATCATTCTTGTTGCCATAATCTTGTTGTTTTTTTTTTTGACGTTTAGCTGCAACCCAGCTTTTGCGCTTTCTTCTTTCACCTTGATTAGAAGGTTCCTCAGCTCCTCCTTGCTTTTGGCCATCAGAGTGGTGTCATCTGCATATCTGAGGTTGTTGATGTTTCTTCTAGCAATTTTCACCCCAGCTTTGCATTCATCAAGGCCCGCACATCGCATGATTTGTTCTGCATACAAGTTAAAAGGTTGGGTGAGAGTATGCAGCCTTGCCATACGCCTTTCCCAATCTTGAACCAGTCTATTGTTCCGTGGTCAGTTCTTACTGTTGCTACTTGGTCCTTGTACAGATTCCTCAGGAGAGAGAGAAGGTGGCTTGGGATGCCCATCCCACCAAGAACTTGCTACAATTTATTATGATCCACACAGTCAAAGGCTTTAGAATAGTCAATGAAGCAGAAGATAGATGTTTTTCTGAAACTCCCTGCCTTTCTCCATTATCCAGCGGATATTGGCAATCTGGTCTCTCGTTCCTCTGCCTTTTCTAAACCCAGCTTGAACATCTGGCAACTCTCGCTCCATGTATTGCTGGAGTCTTCCTTTCAGGATCTTGAGCATTACCTTACTGGCATGAGAAATAAGGGCCACTGTACGGAAGTTTGAGCAGTCTTTCGCATTTCCCTTTTTTGGTATAGGGATATAAGTTGATTTTTTCCAGTCTGATGGCCATTCTTGTGTTTTCCATATTTGCTGGCATATGGCATGCATCACCTTGACAGCATCATCTTTTAAGATTTTAAACAGTTCAGCTGGGATCCCGTCGTCTCCTGCTGCCTTGTTGTTAGCAATGCTTCTTAAGGCCAATTCAACCTCACTCCTCAGGATGTCTGGTTCTAATTCATTCACCACACCGTCAAAACTATCCTCAATATTATTATCCTTCCTATACAGATCTTCTGTATAGTCTCGCCACCTTCTCTTGATCTCTTCAGCTTCTGTTAGGTCCCTGCCATCTTTGTTTCTTATCATACCAATTTTTGCCTGAAATTTACCTCCAATGTTTCTAATTTTCTGGAAGAGGTCTCTTGTCCTTCCTATTCTGTTGTCTTCTTCCACTTCCATGCATTGCTTATTTAAAAGTAGTTCCTTATCTCTTCTGGTTAGCCTCTGGAATTGCGCATTTAACTGGGCATATCTCCCCTTATCACTGTTTCCTTTTGCTTTCCTCCTTTCTTGGGCTACTTCCAGTGTCTCAGCAGACAACCATTTTGCCTTCTTGGTTTTCTTTTTCTTTGGGACGTACTTTGTTGCCGCCTCCTGAACAATGTCGCGGACTTCTGTCCATAGTTCTTCTGGGACTCTGTTTACTAAATCTAGTCCTTCAAATCTGTTCTTCACTTCCACTGTATATTCGCTAAGAATGTTAGTGAGATCATATCTAACTGGTCTGTGTATTTTCCCTGATCTCTTTAGTTTTATTCTAAATTGAGCAATAAGAAGTTCATGATCTGAGCTACAATGTATGAAATGTATGAAACAATGTATGAAACAATTATTTCATTAACCAATCTCACTTGTTTTTCTTTTCTCCCCCCACCCCCCCAAAAAAACAGGTTACAAAGAGAGGGAGTTTAATTGGACGTCATACTTGAAAAACTGCAAGGCTTCAGCTGCCCCAAAGACTCTTTTCAAGGCCACAAACACAGTGAGGCACTGTCCTGCCCTTTTGTTCTCTTGACTTACTTTGTATTTTGTTCAACTCTTTATATGGCAACATGTCATTGTGCCCTTTGCATGGGCTAAAACCTCTATCAGATAGTAAATCTACGTGTAGTATACTGGCAGTCCCCAAGTGTAGTCCCCCCGTGTAAGTATATGTGTTTTAAATAATAATAATATAATAATAAACTTTATTTCTACCCCACCACCATCTCCCCGATGGGGACTTGGAGCGGCTTACATGGGGCCAAGCCCAGACAACATAATACAGCAATAAAATCAAAGCATATACAACAAACAACAACAACATTATCAAAATGACATTAAAAGAGAAAAAAAATAATAAAATAAACATTCCAATAAACACATGTGTCAAATGACAGGGAATTGGCAGGGACAAAAGTGGCTGAGCAGCAGAAGAGCAAATTAACCAGCCCTCGTGTTAGCTTTTCTGAGAAACATGCGGACTGGAAATCTAGGAACAGCCCATGTTCAACCACATGCTTGCAATTGAGTGATTTACAATAACAAATAAGGGAGTCAGTCTACTTACAGGGCAGCATCTCCTTTGGTGGAAAGGGCACCCATGAATTTGGACATTTTCATTTTTATAACCAAATAAATGTAATGAATTATTCCAGGAGCAAGAAATACATTATTTAGGGATGGGTGACCCACAGAAATTAAATCTTGGAATCACAGAGTTGGAAGAGAACACAAGGGCCATCCATCTGTTTTATCTCGCCTTTTTAATCTGCTTTTAATTAGCCTTTCTTTATCCATTATATGTAGCTTGCCCGTGGTTATTGTGATTGTGCTTATTGTAATCTTATATTGGTATTTTTTCATTTGTTTTATGTAATTATGTTATTATTGTTTATTATTTGCGTTTTCGGTTTTATTTTATGTAATTGTTGTTTGGGCTTGGGCTCATGTAAGCCGCACCAAGTCCCCATTGGGAAGATGGTGGCGGGGTACAAAAAAAGTTTATTATTATTATTATTATCCCAACCTCTTGCTAAGTGGGAACACTCAATCTAAGTGTCGTGTTTGGTCAAGGTCCTGTTCATCAAGGCATAACACTTGAACACATGAATGGTCGGACCAGAATCAAGATTTTATGAGCAGAAAAGCTCAACCACCGAGTCCTTTAGAGTTCTGCTGGAAAAAAATATAAATCTCAGAGTGGGATGAACAAAAGTCAAAATCCCAGAGTCAATTGGTATCTTAAACCAGGAGTCCCTGAGCTAAGGCCCACAGCCTGGAAGCAGCCCTCTAAGACCCTTTACCTGGCCCCAGGCCCGTAGCCAGGATTTCGTTTTGGGGGAGGCTGAAATTTTTTTCAGGGGGGGTTTCGGGGGGGCTGAGTTTTGGGGGGGGGGGCTGAGTCTGAGTGAAAGAGGGTCTACCCTAGCAAACCTTTTGTATCATTACCCCAATACCCCCATGCATATGGGATATATTGAGTATGGTGATCAGATCATGATATGAATAAACATAACAGTTTAAATAATGCACCAGTAAGGCCTTTTCGCGAACCACCATGAAAATTTCGGGGGGGAGGGCTGAAGCCCCCCGAGCCCCCCCCCCCCCCCCTGGCTACATGCCTGCCTGGCCCCACTCTGAACTTTAGACTGAGGCTTTCCCTAAGTCTGAAATGCCTTGAAGGCACACAACTGCAACAATTCTCATTAACTTGACTCTCTCCCTAGCCAAAAGCAGGTTCACTCTTCCCATTGAAAGACTGGAAAATGTATGTTGGTTAATATTATTCTTTATTTACAATATTATCTTGTCCTTTTGGGGTTGTTTTGTTTTGTTTTGGGGGGGATTTTTTTCACAACAAATAAGATCTATGCCATGTGCATAGGAATTCGTTTGTGTTTTTTTTTCAAACTGTACTTCAGCTCCCCAACATTCTGGGGGACCGAGAACCAGCCCTGGGCTTATAATGTCTGAGGAGCCCTGACTTAAACAAACTGGATAATATAAATGGGTTCCTGAATATGTAAATACAACACAAGTACCACTTATGCAGAAAGTAAATAATAATAGAATTCAGCATGCAGTTATATAAACATGTTATACTGTTCAATTTCAAACAGTTGTGGGTGGCTGATCCATATGCAACTCAACATAAAGAAGATACAACATTGATTTTATTTTAAAGAGACTGTACCAAAATTTACACAATATTGTTTGACATCACTGTGAAATTGAACAGTATAACATGTTTGTATAACTGCATGATGAGTTCTATTATTGTTTATTTTCTGCATAAGTGGTACTTGTGTTGTATCAAACAAACTGGAGTCAGAGTCCAAAAAACAAACATGGTGGATTTGTAGTCTGGGTTCCAAGATCAAAGGCCAGGGCCTCTTGCAAACAAAGGGCACGGTCCTAAAGTCAAATGTCAAAACCAAAGTTCATACATTCCACACCAGGAAGTCAGTACCAAGGATTTTAAGATCAAAACAAACAGATTGAAACCAAGGTCAGAGCCACAAAGTCAGGAATGCCAGGAGTTCAAGACAAAGCAAAGGGCAGGGTAGCAGAGATAGGGTCCAGAAAAAGGATACAATACAGAGCCAAGGTTAGAGCCCACAAGTCACAAATGCCAGAAAACCTTGAAGCCAATCCAGGACCTATCAGAACTAGGATCCAAAGACAGAATACAACGGTTGTCTTCTACCAAGAGAAAACTAAGCCTCTTTTCATGGGCTTGAGTTCCAGACCATTGTAAGGCAGAAGAATATTAATGGATCTGGCTAATAACATTGTTTCCTCAATTTTCCTCAGCCCATTACCCCTTCTGGCTTTCGAGTGGGAATGAAGTTAGAGGCTGTAGACAAAAAGAATCCATCCTTGATGCGTGTTGCAACCATTGCAGACATGTTAGATAATCGGCTGCTGGTTCATTTTGACAACTGGAATGAAAGCTATGATTACTGGTAAGGAAAAAAATGAATGCTTCTCGTGTGAATCCAACTCTCTAGTCTGTGAGGTCCTTTTGAACACCATTCTTATTGAATCTTATATTCTTGGCAGAGTTTGATTTCCAATAAATATCAGAAAATTTGAAATTTCCCATTAAGGTTGTGTTTCTCTTGCCTGGAATTCTGAAATCTAAAATACTCAGAAATCATGACCTTGGGTGGTTGAGATAACCACACTTTTGCCTTTTGTTTGTTCAGTGTAGACAAACTTGGCTTCATGCACATTTTTTAAAAAATATTGTGTATAAAATAACCTTCAAGCTACTTGTATAAGGTGTATCCTATCCTATCCAATTTGTTGTTAATCCACTCCCTTGGGCTTCAGGCAAATCTACCCCTTGCCAAAATACACGTTCCTGCGCTTTTCTTTGCCATTTCTGGCCAAAGTCAAAATAAGGTGTATATGAAACATAAATGAATTTCGTGTTTAGAATAGTATCCCAAATATCTCATTATGTCCAAATAAAAGTATTCAAACATTTCAAAGAAATCAAATTCCAAAATATTTTTGGTCCAAAGCATTTTGGATAAGGGATCCTCATCCTGAACCATTGCAACTCCTTTCTGAATGTGGGGCCATCTGTTCCTGGAAGGCACCGTGTAAGTCCTCAGTCTGGTTTGGAGTTTTGCAGCAGATCCCACAATGACAGCCGAGGTGTTTCTTTCCCCCTTATGCAACCAGGTGCTCCAGGATTTAAGCCCTGGACTGTTCTCATGCATCAAAAACCTTGACAAATTAGGCGAATCCTCCTCTTTTCCTATTTGCTCTGTTCTCTGAAATGGGTTATACCTCTCTAGTTCTGAAATCAGTTATGAGATTAATTCTACCAAATTTTCATAATGCCAATGTATCATATTTGCTTTGCTGTGTTAAGAGTTTTAAGTTCATCTTCTTTTCCTGTGCTCTGTATATTAGTGTAGAGCAGGGTTCTCCAACTTTTTCAGCTATGGGGCCCTTTTTGAAACAAAGGTTTCTCATGGAGCTCAAATACATATTTGTCTATTATATTATATATAATGTATCTATATCAGGCATGGGCTGGGCCAGTGGCAGATGAATGGGCAATGTTTGTAGGAACTAATTCACACAGGGCCACAAAAACAAAAAACAAAAATATTTAAAACGAAGAACATTTTTAACCAACACAAACTTAACAGTATCTAAGACCCACCCCCGGGGCCACCCAATCCAACCCCTTTCTTTCTGCCTTCCAGGAAAAACACAATCAAAGCACCCCCAATAGCTGGGTGCCTTTGAAGTAGTAGTAGTAGTAGTAGTAGTAGTAATAACAACAACAATAATAATAGCAGAAACCCATTCAGGAAAAACAAAACCAAAGGGCTCTGTGGAGCACAGTTTGAGAACCGCTGGTGTAGAGACATCTTAAGATCATGGGCCAATCCCCCTCAGGTGTTTTTTTTAAAGAGTATCCCCTCTCCTGCTTTGTCCATCTCTCTATAACAGCCAGGCTATTATCTCCAGCACCTGATGAACTCCTACCTCACAACTCCTGTCTTCTCAACAGAACACGTTCTTCTACAGTGCCTGTTCTATAGAGATATTCAATCCCGTCTTACTACGCCATGGCTACTCAAACGCCCTAGATGCTCTGGACAATTTTACATCTCCTTGCTGCTTTCAGATACGAACTCGGCTATAACCTATAATGTTGCCAAGTTCTGCACAGCAGAGATTAAAATCCAGCAGTCAATGATGAATAGCACCAGCTAGTACAAGTCAAGATTTCATATTAGCAGAAAATTGGGATTATAGTCTTTTAATTATAGTCTTTAATTATAGTAATGGATGTTGCTCCCTCCTCTGACTGGACTTCCCTTCCCTGTGCTACATGAGCACCCCAATCCCCTCCTTTCAGACTCCCTCCCTTTTAAATCCATTAATTTTGATATACTCTTGTTTTGATGTTCTGGAAATGATGCACTTGTTTTTAAAGTTTTAGAGTTTTAAAGTATAGAAGTTTTAAAGTTTTAAATCTCTCGACCCTTAGACCTGATGTGGTTGTGCAGGACTGTGTCCCTCTTCTCATGAGCTGGTCATTGATTGTAATAAAGTGAACTTGAACTTGAACTCCTGTCTTCTTGCCCCATATAACTGAGTTTAAAGCTCTCGTGATCAGATTTGTGAGATTCTTTGCAAGAACATTTTGGCCACACTGGGGGAAGGTACAGCCCATCCCTTACTAGAAGTCCAACATCGTAAAACCACAGACCATTTAATATCCAAGAAGCCGAATCCTTCCTGGAGGCACCATCCTGTTCGTTCACTTCCACTATTCTTCTCTCCTTTCCTAAGCTGCGTCCTTCAACTAGCCTATTGAATGAATGGTTGAATAGTGAATCAAAATATAAGTAAATGCCATCAGTTCAGAGTATCAACACTTTTTGGGGAATGGTAAGCCCACCATTTGCACAGTCATATTTCTTCTTGTTCTGGAAATAGAATCATAGTTGGAAGAGACTGCATGGGCCATCCAGTCCAACCCCCTGCCAAGAAGCAGGAATATTGTATTCAAAGCACCCCTGACAGATGGCCATCCAGCCTCTGTTTAAAAGCTTCCAAAGAAGGAGCCTCCACCACACTCCGGGGAAGAGAGTTCCACTGCTGAACAGCTCTCACAGTCAGGAAGTTCTTCCTCATGTTCAGATGGAATCTCCTTTCTTGTAGTTTGAAGCCATTGTTCCATTGCGTCCTAGTCTCCAGTTTTAGCAGAAAACCCTCCAGTTAAAAGACTATAACTGGAACTCGTCTTCTGTTCCGATCCAGGTGTGATTCCGGGAGCCCGTATATTCGTCCTGTTGGTTATTGCCAAGAAACTGGAACTCCTTTAATAACACCAGCTGGTATGTTGCATAAACTATTTACATTCTGGTAAAAACATTTATTTTGACCTCTTGTATGATTTAGTGCTGAAATGTTATATGAGACCTACTTCAAGGAGGTTGCATATGTTCTGGGAAGGAGTTGGGAGAGTGCCCAATGTTTGTTGTGCTACGAATAAAGAAAACTGTAAGAAAATTGAGTCTTTCATGTTCCAACAAGGTTATATATTTTGGGCAAAATCTAAGGAAACTAATAAAGAGTATCAGATGCAGCAATAAAGTCCAAGTTTGATCAACAGAGTTGACAAAACTAGAGCACTGTGGATAGATTCCCTGCGATTGATAAGGAGTGCAAGATGGTCACCTTAAAAAATTTAAACCTTCCCTGACAGTTACACCTTCACATGGAACCTAATGCCCACGTCAAACCAAAGCCCCAAACTTCAGATGAGGCAGTGGAGGATTTAATAGGGTGGTTGAACTTTCCTGAGGGCCCTCAAATGACCTCTTCTGGTTTTCCCAGGGGAGAGAAGGAATATCCTAAATGTTTGGAAAACTAATCAGCACTTTTGCTTTTACTGTTAGACTGAGCATCATGTGCAGTCTAATGAGGCTTCCCCCTCCAGCTAAGTCTGGTGAGTGTATAGAGTGCAGGATGTTCCTCACTTGGGTGAATAGCACAATTGCAAATTCCTTATTAGAGAGACCATTTTGGTGCAACTGTGACTAGATCACCAACTAGATTGCGAGATTAGGAGCCTCCCAGGTCCTTTTTCAAGCCCAAACCCTGACAGCTAATAATAATAATAGATCGACCGTATCTCCATTTACGAACCCACACGATCTCTTCGATCTTCCCGCCCGCGTCTCAAGTGTGACTTGCAGGGACGAGAGAGTGGGCCTTCTCTGTGGTGGCCCCCCGGCTCTGGAACTCACTCCTCAGAGATATTAGGCAAGTCCCCATGCTAGCAATCTTCAGGAGGAACCTGAAAACCTGGCTATTCCAATATGCCTTCAGTGATTGAATGTAAGAACTCCCTGGCCAAACTTTGCACTAAATGTCCTTAGAAGCACTTTATTTATGGTTTGTGCAATTGAATCCTCCCTCATTCTCAGATCCTCATCCTGATGATTTATATTGTTCTATCTCCCAGTTTTTAAAATTTTTAGCCTTGAATGTGGCCCTGCCTAGTGAAATTCTCTGTTTTTAAATGCATGTTTTATATTGTTTGTGTCGTTTAGTACATTTCTTTGCATTTGATATATTTATGTTCTGGTATTGTTATGTTTTTGTATTACAATGTATGTACTGCACTGATGGCCTTGGCCTCATGTAAGCCGCATCGAGTCCCCCTGGGGGAGATGGAGCGGGGTATAAATAAAGTATTATTATTATTATTATTATTATTATTATTATTATTATCCCCTCTAAGCCTCCAAATTCACCCAAAGGCTCCTGGAGAGAATAAAAATCTAAGGCAAATCATGCTTCTGAAATCCTGAAGACCCAGTTTACCAGTTAAAGGTTTTTTTCATGGGAAGCCCTAGCTAACTCCACCAACAGTCATGAATCATAGTTTGGGAATCATAATTTAGTATTACACATAAACCGAACCCCCTCTGGGGAAGGCTATAATTTGTATATGCATTCAGTAAGATAAATAAGTGGCTTAATGTCCATTGTTTTGTTACTGGCTTGCAAGTGTTTCTGAAGTCTGATCATGTTCCTGAATCTCTTTGCAGAGTACAAAGATTCCAAAACCTTCACATGGGAAAAATACTTGGAAGAAACGGGTTCGCAGGCAGCCCCAGCAAGAGCATTTAAACCGGTTCGTCAGTATTTTCCTGAGTTTGTTATTGATAAACTACAATTTTAAAGCCTTTGTTACTACAATCAAATTACCGTAGTTGGTATTTTATGGGGAAGTGATTGTGTAATGTTAGAACTCAACGGACAATGCAAAGAGGACATGACCTTACTGTTTAACTATCGAAAGGGGTGTTTGATCGTGCTTGTTAATGATTGTGAGCACACTAGTAGTGTAGACTGGTTAGCTTGGAGTAAAATGATGTGCTTTGCCCCTCTCCGATAAAACACTGAATTGTAATTTAGCATTACCTCCCTAATGCTGCAACCTCTTAATACAGTTCCTCATGTTGTGGTGACCCCCAACCATAACATTTTTTTGTTTCTATTTCACAACTGTTATGAATCATCATGTAAATATCTGGTGTGCAGGATGTATTTTCATTCATTGGACCTAATTTGGCACAAATACCCGATACGCCCAAATTTGAATACTTGTGGGGTTGATTTTGTCATTTGAGAGTAGTAGTTGCTGGGATTTGTAGTTAACTTACAGCCAAGGAGCATTTTGAACTCCACTCATGATGGAACTGAAGCAAACTTGGCACACAGAACTCCCACGACCCACAGAAAATACTGGATGGTGGGCACTGACCTTGAGTTTTGGAGTTGTAGTTCACCTACATCCAGAGAGCACTGTGGACTCAAACAATGATACATCTGGACCAAACTTGGTACAAATACTCAATATGCCCAAATGTGAACACTGGTGGAGTTTGAGGAAAATAGAGCTTGACATTTGGGAGTTGTTGTTGCTGGGATTTATAGTTCACTTACAATAAAAGAGCATTCTGAATGCCACCAGCGATAGAACTGGGCCACATTTCCCAATGAACAACAGAAATGACTGTGTTTTCTGATGGTCTTTGGCGACCCCTCTGACACCCCCTACACGACCCCTCCAGGGGTCCTGACACCCAGGTTGAGAAACACTACACTAAATCATAGTTTAGTGTTACAGAGACAAGGCAAAATGAGTGCTTCTTCCTTTTCCATCATTTAACATCATAGGAGATTTGAAATACGCACTTCTTGGCTTAAACTAATTGCTCTTTGTTGTTTGAATCAAAATTGCAGCCACGTTTAGTAGATAATTTAAAGCAGAAGCAGATTATTCCAATTTCATACTCTGGTTGTTCAATAATGGAACATAAGCCCAGTATTAGCTTATAGTTTATCATTGTGTGCATTGTGAATATAATGTGCATTATAATTTCAGTCTGTCTCCATTTTGCAATATATTATATTTTAGCACCCAGCTCATAGATTTCAGGCTAATATGAAACTGGAAGCTGTAGACAAAAGAAATCCGATGTTAATTAGAGTGGCAACTATCGTTTCAACAGAAGACCATCATTTGAAGGTATGTGTTTTATTCAAGCAAGGCATAGCTCCATTTCAATTTAGTCCTTGCATTCAAGAGAGAGAGAATCCACTTTGAGCTATAATATAGCAACTTGATTTTATTCTCCATTATGAATTACAGCGCTTGTGCTTAGTGTTGCTAGATGATTTAATGTTGCTTAGTATGTAAATCAATCAGGGCCCTCTGGTGGTTCAGCGGGTTAAACCACTGAGCTGCTGAACTTGCTGACCAAAAGGTCAACGGTTCAAATCCAGGGAGCAGGGTGAGCTCCTGCTGTTACCCCCAGCTTCTGCCAAACTAGCAGTTTGAAAACATGCAAATGTGAGTAGATCAGTAGGTACCACTCAGGTGGGAAGGTAACGGTGTGCCATGCAGTCATGCTGGCCACATGACTTTGGAGGTGTCTATGGACAATGCCGGCTCTTCAGCTTAGAAATGAAGATGAGCACCCTCCACCCCCCAGAGTTGGACATGACTAGACTTAATGTCAGGGGAAACCTTTACCTTTACACATTTATTGAATGGATTTTTCCCCCTTGAGAGATGATTTCTCTGTGATTAATGTAAATTTGCTATACTGGAGCCATCATACCTAGGCAGTTATTTGCAGAGGACCTCAGCATCAGGACTTGATCTGTAATGATCACATCAAATTTTGTTCCACTTTCTGTATAAAATCGAATAATAGAATCATAGAATGGGAAGAAACCACAAGGAGCATCTAGTCCAAGCCCCATTCTTCCATGCAGGAAAACAATCAAAATACTCCCGACAGATGGCTATCCAGTCCCTTCTTGAAAACCTCCAGAGAAGGAGGCTCCACCACTACACGCCAAAGCAGCAGATTCCACTGCTGAAGACTTCTCCATGACATGATTTATCCACAGGTCATATCAGAACCCATCATTCTGCCCCTAAAACCTGCCCTTGACATATCCATGAGAATAGGGGGGAGTTTCATTTATCAAAAATATATTTTTGAAAAAGAGCAATAGAACCCAGTCTTTTCTTAGTCTTGCCAATTCAAGAGTAAACACCAGATGACACCAAGTCACCTGAAAAAGAGAGAAAAACAGCACATTGAGTGGACTGTTCAACATCTTTATTAATGACTTAGATGAAGGGCTAGAAGGCATGATCATCAAATTTGCAGATGACAGCAAATTGGGAGGGATAGCCAATAGTCCAGAGGACAGGAGCAGGATTCAAAACGATCTTGACAGATTAGAGAGATGGGCCAAAACTAACAAAATGATGTTCAACAGTGACAAATGCAAGATACTCCACTTTGGCAGGAAAAACAAAATGTAAAGATACAGAATGGGTGATGCCTGGCTCGAGAGCAGTACGTATGAAAAAGGTCTTGGAGTCCTCGTGGACAACAAGTTAAACATGAGCCAACAATGTGATGTGGCGGCAAAAAAAAGCCAATGGGATTTTGGCCTGCATCAATAGGAGTATAGTGCCTAGATCTAGGGAAGTCATGCTACCCCTCTATTCCGCTTTGGTTAGACCACACCTGGAATATTGTGTCCAATTCTGGGCACCACAATTCAAGAGAGATATTGACAAACTGTAATGTATCCAGAGGAGGTTGACTAAAATGATCAAGGGTCTGGAGAACAAGCCCTATGAGGAGCGGCTTAAGGAGCTGGACATGTTTAGCCTGAAGAAGAGAAGGCTGAGAGGAGATATGATAGCCATGTATAAATATGTGAGAGGAAGCCACAGGGAGGAGGGAGCAAGCTTGTTTTCTGCTTCCTTGGAGACTAGGACGCGGAACAATGGCTTCAAACTACAAGAGATTCCATCTGAACATGAGGAAGACCTTCCTGACTGTGAGAGCCGTTCAGCCATGGAACTCTTGGCCCCGGAGTGTGGTGGAGGCTCCTTCTTTGGAAGCTTTTAAACAGAGGCTGGATGGCCATCTGTCAGGGGTGATTTGAATGCAATATTCCTGCTTCTTGGCAGGGGGTTGGACTGGGTGGCCCATGAGGTCTCTTCCAACTCTTTGATTCTATGATTCTATCTAGAGAAGTGATGCTACCCCTCTATTCCGCCTTGGTTAGACCACACCTGGAATATTGTGTCCAATTCTGGGCACCACAATTGAAGGGAGATATTGACAACCTGGAATGTGTCCAGAGGAGGGCGACTAAAATGATCAAGGGTCTGGAGAACAAGCCCTATGAGGAGCGACTTAAGGAGCTGGGCATGTTTAGCCTGAAGAAGAGAAGGCTGAGAGGAGATATGATAGCCATGTATAAATATGTGAGAGGAAGTCACAGGGAAGAGGGAGCAAGCTTATTTTCTGCTTCCCTGGAGACTAGGACACGGAACAATGGCTTCAAACTACAAGAAAGGAAATTCCATCTGAACATGAGGAAGAACTTCCTGACGGTGAGAGCTGTTCAGCTGTGGAACTCTCTGCCCTGGAGTGTGGTGGAGGCTCCTTCTTTGGAGATTTTTAAACAGAGGCTAGATGGCCATCTGTCAGGGGTGCTTTGAATGCAATATTCCTGCTTCTTGGCAGGGGGTTGGACTGGATGGCCCATGAAGTCTCTTCCAACTCTATGATTCTATGATTCTATGACTGAGAGCAAAAAACAAAAACAAACTCCCTCACATCGACTAAATGCCAAATATTACAAGGAATGGCAAGACCTTTTCATGGCAAGTTGCATCCCGTATCCTTACCCTTCCTTCATTTGTTTTCTTTCTTGATTAGATACACTTTGATGGTTGGGACCCTTACTTTGACTTCTGGGTTGATGCCTATAGTTCAGATATTCACCCTGTGGGTTGGTGTGCCAAAGCCGGGCATGACCTGCAGCTCCCACCAGGTGAGAAGAGGAGAAAGGGTGCAGGCTGTTTTTCCTGCTCTCTTGACATGATAATTTGAAGCAAGATTTGGAAGTGAAACCTGCTCCTTAACTTGTTGTGCTTTTTTCAGGTCCTTCAGATCCACCTGGGACATCGGGACAAGGATGCCCTACTCCAGGATGTCAGGGATTGGGTCACGTTAGGGCCCCCCGATATGGAACACATTACACGTATGTGTATCTGAGGGTTATGGAGTAATTTACAGGGGATTGTAAAGTCGTCGTGTTGCCAAGTGCCTATTTTTAAAAAAATAATGCAGCTTCAAGGTGTTCTGATCCTGCTTCGAGTAAAGTAGCAAGTTATTATCATTTTAGCTTAATCACTTTAACTGCTGCAAATAAGCTATAGCTAAAGAGATGCTTATTGCCAGACATGCAACAAAGCGCAAAGATGGGGTGCCATTAATTTATTCTATAACTTGCATAGAATGTTCATATGTTGAGGAAACCTCCAAGTGACAATGTTGGGTTGTATCTTTAAAAATTATAGAAATGCTGCCAGATTACCTCACTTACAATGTTTATACTTCACACTTGGTGAAGTACTGGGTTGGTGATACAGTAGAACTCAGATGTGCCATGCTGGACTGACATTTCAGATTTCTCTTCAATCTTTGCTTGTTGGAGGCTTCATTTAATATGATTTGTTTTACATGAATGTTGGCACTGAATTTTTGGCATTAAAATGTTGTAAACCACCTTGAGTGCCCCCAGGGGTGAGAAAGGCAGTATATAAATACAGTAAATAAATAAATATTTTTATTATTATATTTATTTATACCCTGCTTGATCTCCCCCAAAAGGGACGCAAAGTGGCTTAACATAAAAGCATCAGCATCACTATTTAAAAATATACAAATATCTGAACATTAAAACAGGATTAAATATGAACAAGATTTTAAAAATTCCCAATACAAAACCATTAAAACAAATTCAAAGTCAAAATCCATTCCGAAATCTTTTTCTTTATATGGGTTTCACTGGTAAGGAAAGGCAAACCGCCTTGGAATAACTCCTCCCAAGAAATCCCAAGACACAGGGCCTTAGGGTCATAATACTTCAGAAACAACTTGAACACACACAACAGCATTTGAAATATATATTCCAGTGTTCTTCCAGTGTTCTTGCAGAAGACACATTAACTGTGAATTTGCTCCTCCGCTATGAAAAATTGTGCTGTTTTTATTCATAAAGAATCAGCAGTGCAACAGGCTAGAAGATACCACCAGGCTCTGAAATTATTGGAATATCTAGCTGCATATTAATACATGCCTTTCCCCAATCACTCAGAATGAGTGCATAGATTTAAAAGGGGGTGCATAATGTGCAAAGGGGGTGTGTAGCTTTTCCCATCCTGCCTATTGAGGGGAAAAATGATCATGGTGTTCACAACCTATGAACCATCAAGGCTTTTAAGATCTTCTGGAGGGGCCCTGCTCTCGGTCCCACCACTTTTGCAATTGTGTCTGGTGGGAACGAGAGACAGGGCCTTTTCTGTGGTGGCCCCTTGGCTATGGAATTCTCTCCAAAATGAGATTAGATCTGCCCCCTCCCTCCTGACCTTCAGGAAGCTAGTGAAATCCTGGCTATGGAACGAAGCATTTCCGGAATAATGGCTGAGATCAGCAATAGACTAAAGTTACTGACATATGCGGCCTGAGTTGGACATGATTTTATCTTGGCGAACTTGCTTATATGTATTATATTTTATATGTATTTTAATCTTTTATTGCTGTATGATGTTTTAGACTGTATTGTGGCATTGAATCCTTGCTGTTAGCCGGTCTGAGTCCCTTCGTGGAGGTAGAGAAGATCGGGATGTAAAAGTTTTAATTTATTTTTTTTGTCGTGTCAGGACAAGTTGCTTCTGGTGTGAGAGAATTGGCCGTCTGCAAGGACGTTGCCCAGGGGTCACCCGGATGATGTTTTTATCATTCTTGTGGGAGGCTTCTCTCATGTCCCCGCATGAGAAGCTGGAGTTGATAGAGGGAGCTCATCCACCTCTCCCCAGATTCGAACCTGTGACCTGTCGATCTTCAGTCCTGCCGGCACAGGGGTTTAACCCAGTGCACCACCGGGGGCTCCAAAGTTTTAAATAATAATAAATAATAATAAATGTCTTTATGATGTTTTGTTGTGTAGATATAAAGCTGGCATTATCCCTGCAATGGCAAAGGCCTTGTCTCCCTTTTCATCAAACATGTGATCTTACCGTTTGAAGACATCTTTATGTGGAGAAACAGGATACTGGCCCTTAGAATCTTGCATGCAACAATGCCTGTCCTGTGGGATTGGGCATTTATTTGTCAGTGACATAGATCAAAGCTTCTGAGACCTGGGATCCCAACCCAAAATTGAGGTGCCATAACTAAATCTAGAAGTTGGGGAATTCTTTGGTGTACACATAATTTTACCATTTCTCAAAGGCAGAAGCTATTTTGCATACTAATAAGATGGATATGCATGTTTATTTTTACATAAAGAATTAAATCTTGGCTGCATATTTGATACTGCAGGAGATAAGGCTTCAACTTTTTTTGTCATGACATGTTTACTTTGCAGTCTCAAGTGACAGAATCTAGACCCCTTCTTCATATTATTCATATTATCAAAGCAGATCATCCACATTATCTGCTTTGAACTGGATGATCTGAGTCTACACTGCTATATAATCCAGTTCAAAGCAGATTATCTGGGTTTTATATGGCAGTGTAGAAGGAGCCATACTCTGATGGCTCACCTTTTTCCTCTTGAGTTAGAAAGGGACCACAGTGGGATGTTTGGAGAAAGGGTTTGTACCTTCAACTTAAAAGGTTCCAGATTGCAGAGTGAGCCATGTGCTGAAATGAGCCCATCCCCACCTCTGGGAAACATCAGAATCTGTTCACATGCATGTATGCAGAAGGTTTTAATCTGTCTCTCCCTGCACATAGTGGCTCTGGTCCTTCCTAGAGGGTCGATCTCAGAAGGTGAGATCAGAATGGTTCTACCCTACAACCTTTGTTGTGTGGGGTTCCTCAGGGCTCAATATTGTCTCCTATGTTGTTTAACATCTACATGAAGCCGCTGGGGGAGATCATCCGGAGTTTCGGGGTACGGTGTCATCTGTACGCGGATGATGTCCAACTCTGTCACTCCTTTCCACCTGCTACTAAGGAGGCTGTTCAGGTCCTGAACCGGTGCTTGGCCGCTGTAACGGTCTGGATGAGGGCGAACAAATTGAAATTGAATCCAGACAAGACAGAGGTACTCCTGGTCAGTCGTAAGGCCGAACAGGGCATAGGGTTACAGCCTGTGTTGGACGGGGTTACACTCCCCCTGAAGACGCAGGTTCGCAGCTTGGGTGTGATCTTGGACTCATAGCTGAGCCTGGAACCCCAGGTTTCAGCGGTGACCAGGGGAGCATTCGCACAGTTAAAACTTGTGCGCCAGCTGCGCCCGTACCTTGGGAAGTCTGACTTGGCCACGGTAGTCCACGCTCTGGTTACATCCCGTATAGACTACTGCAACGCTCTCTACGTGGGGTTGCCTTTGAAGACTGCTCGAAGCTTCAAATGGTCCAATGATCGGCAGCCAGGTGTTAACAGGAGCGGCACTCAGGGAGCATACACACTCCTCTGTTGCGCCAGCTCCACTGGCTGCCAGTTTGCTAACGGGCACAATTCAAAGTGCTGGCTTTAGCCTTTAAAGCCCTAAACGGTTCTGGCCCGACCTATCTGTCCGAACGCATCACCCCCTATGAACCAGTTAGGACATTAAGATCGTCCGGGGAGGCCCTGCTCTCGATCCCGCCAGCCTCACAAGCACGGCTGGCGGGGACGAGAGACAGGGCCTTCTCAGTGGTGGCCCCTCAGCTGTGGAACGCCCTTCCCGCAGACATTAGATCGGCCCCCTCCCTGCTGGCGTTCAGGAGAAGAGTGAAGACCTGGCTCTTTGAACAGGCGTTTAATTAAGCAGTGCAATTAATTGATTGATCATGGAACATGGAATAATGGACAAGGAGATCGGATTATGACTTTGCTGATGAGATGTGATGGATTGTATTGTTTTGGATTGTATTGGATGTATTGTTGTTATATTGATGTATTGATGTATTGTTATATTGATGTAATTGCCATGGTTACTGTTTTAAATGCTAATGTTTTGCACTTTGTATACTGATTTGGTTGTAAACCGCTCTGAGTCGCCTACGGGCTGAGAGAGAGCGGTATGAAGTAAATAAATAAATAATAAATAAATAAACATACTACAGGCAAATACTTCTTGAATTTTTAGTGGCAGGTGACTGATGATGTTTTTAATTTCTGTTGAATTTGGCTTAGGAATCCAACGTAGAATCAACATTTAAACGGAAGTATTTCATAAACTAAAAAGATAGCCGTGAAGCAAAATGATGGCTCGATACAAAAATTTCTTGCAACCCTCACATTCAATTAATGGGACCCCAACTGGGGCCAGAACCCCCACAAAGAAGCTTTAATAATAATAATAATAATAATAATAACAACAACAACAGCAACAACAACAACAATAATGGTAAAGGTTTCCCCTTGACATGAAATCTAGTTGAGTCCGACTCTGGGGGTTGGTGCTTATCTCCATTTCTAAGCCGAAGAGCTGCATTGTCCATAGACACCTCCAAGGTCATGTAGCCGCTGGCATGACTGCATGGAGCACTGTTACCTTCCCACAGAAGCAGTATCTATTGATCTACTCACATTTGCATATTTTCAAGGTACTAGGTTGGCAGAAGCTGGGTCTAACAGCGGGAGCTCACCCCGCTCCCTGGATTCAAACTGCCGACCTTTCAGTCAGCAAGTTGAGCAGCTCAGCAGTTTAACCCGCTGCACCACCAGGGGTCATAATAACACTTTATTTATATTCTGCTTTATTTCTCCAGATGGACTCAGAGCGGATTACAATATACACATATGAGGCAAACATTCAATGGCATTTACACACAGTGAACATCGACATACAACTCAGACAAAGGGAGAGGCCTTCCCCTTTTTTCCATCTCTGGCGTCTGGAGGCAGTGTTCAACTCTGGCCATGGGGAGGCGCTCTCGTTCCATTTTCCATGCCAAACGAGCCTGCTATCTGTAGACATCTCCGATTGTGTTGCTGACACGTCTGCATATCTGCATGGGGTGTCCTTTTACCTTCCCGCCAAGTTGACCTATTGATCTACTCGCATTGCCTTTGCCTTCAGCCGCTCCTCTTAGGGCTTGGCTTCCAGATCTATAACTATGCTCAATTCAAGGAGCAGGTTATTACCTACAAAGCCCTATATGCTTTGGGTCCAACCTATCTTTGAGATCGCATCTCTTTCTATGAACCGGCATGGGTTCTGAGATCGACAGGGGAGGTCCTTTGCTCTGTCCCTCCACCGCTTCAAGTGTGGTTGTTGGGGACAAAAGAGAGGGCCTTCTCTGTGGTGGCCCCCCGGCTCTGGAATATCCTACTAAAAGAAGTTAGATTTGCCCCACCCTTCAGTCCTTCTGTTCCAACCTGAAAACATGGATGTTCAGACAGGCTGAATGGGCTCATAGGAAGCTGACACTTGGCACCTTGTGAATTGATGGCAGTTAGTTTTATCCACTGTTGTTTTGAAATTGTATTATTTTGATTTTATGCTACATGTGTTGATGACAATTGTTGTTATAATTTTATGTGTTTTATACTTTTGTACCATTTTTACCGGTTGTAGGTAATATATGCACCCTGGAGTGCCTTGAAAGCCACCCTGAGTCTCTTCGGGGAGGTGGTGGTGGGATATAAACAAAGATTATTATTATTATTATTATTATTATTATTATTATTATTATTATTATCCCAATAGCCCAAATGTGTGAGTTTGCTCTATGAAAAATGTAATCAGTCTTGTGAATCCAACAACCTGTCACTTATTGCTGTATTATATAAGTTTACCTAATTAGTATGGCTAGTCTTCTGAAGGGAAAGATGGAACAGCTAGGTGACATATTTTTCTTCTGGAAACATTTTTTTATGCAGATTGGTTGGCTGCCCGTATTCTGAAATCAATCGCAACCGAGAAAGCCCTTTACAGGATCGCCTTGGGGGAGAAAAACCTTTACCTATTTCCATTCTTCACAAACTCAAGAAATCTGAAACTTCTGTATCACTTACAGATCTGGAGGAAGACTCTCCGCAGTCTAGGTGAACCTTTAAATTTAACTTTACGTTTTAGTCTTGGGCAATGTTTGTCAACTGGAGCCAAGAAATGCCTCAGTGTCTGGAGGCAAGAAGATATATGTGCATGAGTGCATGATGACTTTCTTAAAAGAAGGTGTAATAGGGATATTCCCTTTTATCCTTATGATTTCAAAGCCATTCAGAAAATAGAATTTTCCAGGTTCATTTAGATTTTGGGAAGTCTTTTGGGATGTCACGTTCATCTAACACAGGCATGGGCAAACTTTGGCCCTCTCTCCAGGTGTTTTGGACTTCAACTCCCACAATTCCTGGCTTCAGGCCCTTTCCTTTCCCCTCTCAGCTGCTTAAGGAAAGGGCCTGAGGGGAAAGGAAAGGGCCCGAGGCCAGGAATTTTGGGAGTTAAAGTCCAAAACACCTGGATGGAGAGCCAAAGTTTACCCATGCCTGATCTAACGGGATGAACATGGCATTTATCAAAAGCATTTTCAGCAGACTTTAAACAACATAGCATATAAAGTAGAACTCTATGCATTGAGCATCCATTGCCTGGAATGCTGAAATCCTCCAAAAGCCAAAGTCCTCCACATGGGTGGCTGAGGTATTCAGTCAGTCAGTCAGTAGCCTTTATTTCGGTCAACAAACCATCGGCTAAGTCAAGTGAAAGTAGAATGAAGAAATACAACAATTTACAATTAATAACATTTGGCTTATAATTAATAAAAACAAGTATCACCATTCGCTATCGGATGAATGGCTGGGGCTGAGGTATTGATACCTTGGTATTCTGATGAATACATTTGTATTCCGATTAAACAAATATTGTTTAATGCACAAAACTATTGCAAATATTGCATAACGTTATCTTCAGCCAATGAGTATATAGGGCACATGAATGAATTTCAAGTTTAGACTTGGGTCCCCTCTCCCAAGATATTTCATATTGTACATATATGCAAATACAGGTATTCCAAAATCTGAAATCCAAATGTACAGGGTTGAGTGTTCCTTATCCAAAATGCTTGCGACCAGAAGTGTACATTTTTATTTTGTCATTATTGTAAGACACCTTGGGCTTTATGTTGGAAATAGCAACCTTCCAAGCCTCCACTAACTGTTTGTAAATGTGTATATGTACATTTTGGTTTGTCAGTTTGACTGTACCCCTTTGGTGTGGTAGGGGCTTCAGTCACATGACTCCATTCTGTATTCAGTTTGCATCAGACCTCAGTGGAGGTGGATGCATGCTGCTGTTTGGACTTTAGTAGTGTAGTAGAATTTAGTAGATTTAGTAGAATAGTATCTTTTTAGACCTCAATGGAGGTGGATGCCGTTTGTCTCCTTTCAGACTTCAGTGAATACAATTTGGAGTATATCTGTATGCTTAAAGACATTGGACTATAGACTAGTATGCTGAATATATACAAGACGTTTGTTAGTAAACCTGAGACTACTTTGTTTTGTCTCTTGAGTGCATATTTTAACTAAAAGGTTTTAAGGGAATGTATATCTTTTGGGCAATTGCCCAAAATGCGGCAGCCAGGCTGCTAGCGGGATCATCTATAAGATCCCATATTACACCGATTCTGCAACAACTGCATTGGCTACCAATAGAACATCGGATCTCTTACAAGATACTGATCCTGACATTTAGAGCTCAAAATGGCCAAGGACCTTTATATCTTAGGGACCGCCTCATTCCTTTCCTCCATCAGTGGTCACCTCTATCCACCCAGGAAAATCTCCTCTACATATCGGGTCCTAGGGAGGCACATTTGGAAGCTACAAGGCGTAGAGCTTTTTCAATCAATGCTCCGATTCTGTGGAACTCATTGCCTCCATATATTAGAGCAATGTCGGAGTTGTGACCTTTTGCAAAGGCGCTCAAGACTTGGCTGTTTGGCTGTGCATTTAAGTAACCGGATCAAATTTTGCCATAGTCACTGCTGAATGTTTTTATGTTGAATGTTTTTATGTTGAATGTTTTTATGTTGAATGTTTTTATAGTGAATGTTTTTATATTGAATGTTTTATATTGTGTATAAACTGTTTTAAATTGTAAGTTGCTTGGAGCACCTTGGTGGAGAGCGACTAATTAAGAAATAAAGTGATGATGATGATGATGATGATGAATTGTAACTGCAAATTCTGCTTCAAAGAAACAACCATCCTCTGCTAACCAAATATATTTTTGTAGTGGCATGTCTTTATCCTTGGCAATTTAAACAAATGGTTCTTCAGTTTAACAGCTGAGTTACCTGTGTGTCATGGAATCATAGAATCAAAGAGTTGGAAGAGACCTCATGGGCCATCCAGTCCAACCCCCTGCTAAGAAGCAAAAATATTGCATTCAAAGCACCCTTGCATGAATGCTTATGAATATCACTTGTTCAACTTCTAACAAGGTCATGCTTTTCTTGGCTATTGGTTTTCAAAAGGTGGTCTCCACATGTTCATGGAGATTCACATTTGCCAAACGGATGTGACATCATTTTTACCTTTTCAATAAGGTTATGGTGCACTTATTTCCAATAGGTTATGGAATTTCCAATACTTCATGCCGTGGGGAAAAAGCAGAAAACAAAAACAAAAAAGCAATAGACAGCATCAACTCCTCTATGTAAGAAAAGGACCAGACCAGTTTCCGCCACTCTTTTGATCTCAAGACATTTAGAATCACGTTGACCCAAACCAGCATTACAAGTGGATAGAGATTAAGGGAGTTATGTGCCAAATGTCCAGAGAGCGCTATGTTGGAGGATGCTGAAGCTGTTATTTTGCACCTGTTATTTTGTAGCCGTCACCTGAAAGACCAGCAAACATTAGAAGGAGAGCAGTGATGGATGTGAGATTCCAATCTGTTTTTCATCCCTCCTGGAGAACAAGCCCTATGAGGAGCGGCTTAAGGAGCTGGGCATGTTTAGCCTGAAGAAGAGAAGGCTGAGAGGGGATATGATAGCCATGTATAAATAAGTGAGAGGAAGCGACAGGGAGGAGGGAGCAAGCTTGTTTTCTGCTTCCCTGGAGACTAGGACGCGGAACAATGGCTTCAAACTACAAGAGAGGAGATTCCATCTGAACATGAGGAAGAACTTCCTGACTATGAGAGCCGTTCAGCAGTGGAACTCTCTGCCCCGGAGTTTGGTGGAGGCTCCTTTTTTGGAAGCTTTTAAACAGAGGCTGGATGGCCATCTGTCAGGGGTGATTTGAATGCAATATTCCTGCTTCTTGGCACGGGGTTGGACTGGATGGCCCATGAGGTCTCTTCCAACTCTTTGATTCTATGATTCTATGATTACATCACTTCAGGCACATCAAAGAGCAGTGATACATCTGCTTGACCCAACCAGGCCTGGCATTCTGTTCTCCAAAGGCTTCATGGCCTCCAGAACATTTCCCATTCTCCCTGACCCACAAATTATATTCAAGAAAGGAGGAAAAGGTCCAATCCAGAGTCTCTTCCCCAGCCCCTATAATATTGCCCTTGGCTTTTTCTCGTTTTGAGAACAGAGTGGAGACTGGAAATGCATGAGCTCACAATGTGGAGTGTTTTCACTCTCCCCGTATGAGTCATTACTCTTAGTGACCTGTGTACTGACTTCATGCTGCTGTGAAATGCAGTATTTTTTTTCCAAATTGAAATGATGATACTCATTTTGCATTTTCTATGGGGAAGGTAAAAGCAAGCACAGCCTGAGATAGCAGCTTCTCGTCCTTGTAATCTCCATGTCTCACACAGTTAGGCTCCTAGGCAGGCACAGATCAATCCACCGAATGTTCCAGGACTGAATAGCTGACTGGCAGTAGTCCCAACTTCCCAGGCAACACTACAGGTATAACATTGAAAGGTGTTCCCTAAGTTCCTTTTCATCCATCGCACGATTAACTAGTAGCTGATTTGCTTTTGCTTTCCAGTCCCCATCCCTGATACCTCTGCTACATTGGTGATGTCTTCATGCCTCTTCATGTGTTCTTGGTCACCTTCTTCAAACACTGTAATGCATGTTGGGGGAAAGATTCCTCATCCTGATCCATACATGGAATGCATTTTCTGTCTTGTGGAGGATCACCAGAAAAAATTCTACACCATTTGTCATAATCTCATGAACCTGTCCCTAAAGAATAAGATTTTCCAGCTCTGAGTCTCCCTTTGCGAGCTAATTTCAGAGCAATCCCTCAAAACTGTGGATACAGCAGCAAAGAACTGACTTCACAGCAATGTATTTGCATGCAACGGTTGATATGATCCCTCCATTTTGGCAAGATATATACTTTCTCCAGGAACCAAAACTGAGTCAGATCCATCTCTGCAAGCTCAAACATTTCAGGACAGACTCAGATGTTACACCTCCCCCAACTCTGTGACATTCAGTGCCCTCACAAATTGAGCAAAGAGCCTATGAGACCTGGTCCAGGCCTTTGGAAGAAGAAGAAATTAACAAGCCTGATGAGTCAGCACATGAGCATCTGTTGACCTCACTGTCATTTCCGATACCATCATGTCGATCAACTTCATCCAGCCCTTGATAAGGTTCAACTAACAGGCTCATTCGTAGTACTGATCGACCTGAGGGATGCTCCTTTATGATAGACTGAAGTAGTATCCATTCCAAGCCTTTCAAGGTCAGAGTCTGGCTTAACTTGGCAAATCTTCCAAGGCAGCCAGCTTCTAACCACCACCACTCCTGACTCTGTTGGGAACAGATGCCCACACCACAGGTTGCATAGGCCTCCATCTCTGACCATAAACAATCTCCACTTCAGGCCCTGAGATTGTCACCTGGTATATGGGCTGACTTGTTGACATGGCACTCCCAGTCCTGTTCATACCGTCCTTGGCCCCAAGTTCTTTGGGTCTAATCCCGATCTACCTCACATTGGTTCCATGAGCTGGAAAGCAGATCACCCTCTCAATCCGGATCACATTCAGTCGTGATCCAGAGACAGGCCCCACTGCAACCCTTGGGGCCATTACCACTCTCAGCACAGTGGAAGATTGAGGTCTCTGACTTTGTGTGCTTGCCTACTACAAGCCTCTCAGGTTCAATCTTTCTCATTCCTCCCTCACCAACATGTCCTTGCAATTATTTTCCTTAGCTGAAGTCCCAGCTCTTCCTCTCTTGCATCCTCCCAGTCATTATAACAATCCTTGAGTCCACCTCTGTCCAGCCCTTTCTCCCTCCCTTGACAGAGTTGTCCTGCTTTCTTTGGTCATCCTCCAGAGTTGGGGCTGTCCCCTGTTCTCAGTGAGGCTTGTTATTCAACTGTTTCAGACTCCAAGCATCCACCATGATAGTCACACCTTACATGAGGCTCCACTTCCTCTCCTTCTTACTGTCTTCCATCTTAGTTAATCTGCCCAAGCCCCTTCTCATCATTACCCTACATGTCCTGGATGTCTGCAGGGCCCTTGCATTCTACATGTGCCATATCTCTGAAATCAGAAAATCCTAGATAGTTCCTTTATTGTGGTGGAAGGAAGGCTGGCTCTCCTGTGTCACCACAAAGACCGTCCAGATGGGTCACCACTCTCATGATCCTGGTGTAAGCTGCAATTGTCATGACTTCATTTCCACTCCCCCCTTGCTGCCACCCACCATTTCATGACTGGCTGCAGAGTACAGGGTCACTTAGTGGTCTCATCTGCTTTCCTATGACACTAATGCCTGGATTGTAGCATGTGAGCTGATGCTGAATTTGTTATTATCCATCATTGGCTGACCTGCCCCTTCTCTACTGACTAATTTCCCAAATGTGTGAGGCACAGAGACCACGAAGAGGGACAGGTTTCTCACCTGTAATTGTAGTTCTTTGAGTGGATGTCTGTGCTTTCACACAAATCTGCTCTCCTTCCCTCTTGTTTTGCAGGCCCACTGATCTCTCTGAGGAACATCAGAAATGGGGGGATCAGCTTTTGGCACTACACATATAGTACAGGGCCACTGCCAGAAAACTGCCCAGCTCTGGAACATTGCATGGATTGATCAGCGTGTGCGCAGTTGTGTGAAGTTGCAGATGAACACTCAAAGAACAACCATTGCAGGTGTCACTTTACCTTCTTTCACAGTGTTTATCAAGAGCTGCAAATACAGGAGGCAGCTCATGTCCATAAACCTGCTTTGGGCTTTGTTTGCCTTACTCAGCTGAATGTTTGAATTATTTCCCAAACAGAAAGTCATCCACAGAAAATGGAGATCTGTCAGGACAAAGCAATGCCCACAATCTATTAGAGCAGTCTGAGGCCAGCCAACAGAAGGACTGGGCTGAAGGGGAATCCTCTGTTGATATCAAAGTCAAATCCAAAGGGTAAGCAGAATACAGTTTATTCCCTGGAACAGCAACATTTGAAGTGGAAAAAGGAAAGTTTGGTAAGAGATGTTGGTTACAGATGGAACATGACTTTCGAAACAGATCAAACAATTCATGAAGTTTTGTTCTGGGTGGGCAAATCTGTGTTTCTCCATGTTCATAGGCAAATCCATGAAAATGTTTTGTTGTTGTTGTTGTTGTTGTTGTTGAGCAGTGGTGCTTGTTGCAGTACAGTGCAAGCCCTTTCAATATCAGCAGATTATTGTTGCATAAACCTTTGTGCTTTGCTATCTACTTTTACAGACACTGGCTAAATATGAAATGTTTGGCTTCCGCACGCAGATATTTCTGTCATTTTTCTCTTTTAAAAAAAATCAGTTCATCTCCAAAAATTCAGTTCTCTCTCTTTTTTCCCCCTCCTATAAGTTGTTACTTTACCATCCAAATTTGTCTTTTCAGGACTGATTGCTCACATGGCTATATAAAGCTCCAGGTCATAAAACAAGATGTCGATGGAAGAGGTTTGTCACATGTTTGTTTATAAACTATTGCAGATTTCTTAGCTTTTTTCCATTTTGTTACATGAAGAGTATGTTGCCGTTTTCTTTAAGATGAATTCCATTATTATATGTATTTGCTTCAATTAAGAATCCTTTCTGTTTCTTTTCTCTTACAATGGAGCTCTGATAAATTTAGTTTTAAGTGAGGTTCCAGAAATCAAATTGATTTTTGGAGAAGTGAAAAGATCTGCAGCATCTACACCAGGCATGGGCAAACTTGAGCCCTCCCTCCAGGTGTTTTGGACTTCAACTCCCACCATTCCTAACAGCCTCAGGCCCCTTCCTTTTTCCTTTCCTTTTCCGCTTAAGCGGCTGAGGGGAGTTGAAGTCCAAAACACCAGGAGAGCCCAAGTTTGCCCATGCCTGTTCAATGTTCCAGCCAACGTATGGCACTACATAATGCCTCCCATACAGTTAACAATATGCCTGAGAAGGCGTATTGTTGCTTTTTTCTCACAGTCCTTCCATTCCTTTCAGCTGTTCCTTGTTGCTGCTGAAATCAGATTGTTGAGATAACCTCTTAGACTTCTGTTCCGACATACGTAGTTTAAATAAGCCATGGATTTGCCCACCACCAATATATTCTACAAAAATATTACTATGTTTGCAGCAAATAGGATGATGACATTATTAGGCTTTGAGTGGTTGTTTTCTTTTGCAACATTTGATGGAGCAATTTAATATTATTTATTTATTTCAAAGTTTTCTATACCGAGCTTCTCACCTCTTAGAGGGACTCAGCCCGGTTTACAGCCATAAAAACATACAATCAGTAAAATATCATAGTTCATAATTACAATAACACATTTAAAATAACAACTATATTTAAAACTACGGTGGTCAGTCGTCATATTAAAAACAAGTATACCTCATCTTCCATCCACAATCCTAGGGTGCTATCTCATTCATCGAAAGCCTGTCTCCACAACCATGTATTCACCCGTTTCCTGAATGTCAGGATAGACGGGGCGGTTCTGACCTCCAGTGGGAGAGAGTTCCAGAGTCGCGGGGCCACCACCGAGAAGGCCCTGTCCCTCGTCCCCACCAGGCGTGCTTGTGAGGCCGGTGGGACCGAGAGCAGGGCCTCTCCAGACAATCTTAGTAATCTTGATGGTACGTAGGGGAGAATACGTTCGGAGAGGTAAACAGGGCCGGAGTCGTTTAGGGCTTTATAGGTTAACACCAGCACTTTGAATTGTGCTCGGAAGCTAATTGGCAGCCAGTGGAGCTGGTGTAACAGTGGAGTGGTGTGCTCCCTGTACCCAGCACCCGTTAGTAATCTGGCTGCCGAGCGTTGGACTTGCTGCAGCTTCCGGGCAGTCTTCAGAGGCAACCCCACGTAGAGAGCGTTGCAGTAATCTAAGCGGGATGTAACCAAAGTGTGGACTACCATGGCCAAGTCAGACTTCCCAAGGTACGGGCGCAGCTGGTGCACAAGTTTTAGTAGTGCAAAAGCTCCCCTGACCACCGCTGAGACCTGGGGCTCCAGACTCAGCGATGAGTCCAAGAGAACTCCCAGACTGCGAACCTGCTCCTTTAGGGGGAGTGTGACCCCGTCCAGCACAGGCTGTAGCCCCGTACCCTGTTTGGCCTTACGACTGACCAGGAGTACCTCTGTCTTGTCTGGATTTAGTTTCAATCTGTTGTCCCTCATCTAGTCCGTTACAGTGGCCAAGCACTGGACCTGGACAGCCTCCTTAGTAGCAGATGGAAAGGAGTGATAGAGTTGGACATCATCTGCGTACAGATGACACCGCACCCCAAAACTCCGGATGATCTCTCCCAACGGCTTCATGTATATATTAAACAACATAGGGGACAGTACTGAACCCTGCGGGACTCCACAGTACAACGGGCGAGGCAAGTCTAAACCTGATCAGGTGGTGGTCAGTCCACGGCAAAGGAGAGATTGACAGCTCCTCCACACCGCCACCTTCTTCCCAGCCCTGACAGAAGACCAAGTCAAGTGTGTGTCCAGCACAGTGGGTAGGGCCAGATACTAGCTGGGACAGCCCCATAGTTGCCATGGCGGCCATGAAGTCCTGAGCCGCTCCTGAAAGAGTGGTCTCTGCATGGACATTGAAGTCCCCCAGCACTACAAGCCTCCAATGCCAGGCCCGAGACCAACTCTGCAAGCTCAGGTAGGGCGGCCGTGGTGCAGCAGGGTGGTCGGTACACCAACAACAGCCCTATTCTGTCCCGGTCTCCTAACCTCAGGTGGACACATTCAAACAAGGTCGACTGTAAGGCTGGTCAAGGAGATGGAATCTTTATAGACTATTGCAACTCCGCCTCCCCGCCCCCCGGATCTCGGTTGGTGCTGCACGGCATAACCTGGTGGGCAAAGCTGGGTGAGATTAACCCCTCCAGCCTCATCCAACCAGGTCTCCGTGATGCACGCCAGATCTGCCTTTTCCTCAAGTATTAGATCCTGAATGGTTGATATTTTACCATTGACAGACCTGGCGTTCAACAGCACCACCTTCAATCCAGGCGGACCGTCTACCTTGGAACCCACGTTTACCAAGTCAGGAGAACATTTTGGAATTTTCCTCAGAGTTTGTTCACGAAGTGGCCAAATTAGTTTCTTAACTCTCCCTTTCCCGTATCTTCCCCTCCCCATCATCACCTCTATGGGGGCCCCCCCGAGGACTGGAACTCTCCCCCTCCCTCCCACCCCCGTTCTTCACATCCCGACAATGAAATATTGCACTGTTATGTAGCATATCATTGCCCCGGCCAGTTATCAATGCATCACTTTCATCGTTCTTGTAGCTCCACTCCTCTGATTCAATTTAACGTGGTCTTCCAAATTTTCAGAAATTATAAGAATGTCATCCAAGTAAACTAGAACTCTCTTATACAGAAAGGGGTGTAATGTTTCATTTATCAATTGCATAAATACGCCAGGGGCACCAACGGCTCTTACCAGTGGCTCTGCACCCCAAGAGTTCTGGATCTGTGGCTGGGGCGTCTTCACTGCAGATCGTGGGAGGTTTCTGCCAGCTATCTCAGCTCTCCATCGTCCTCACCCAACTCCACTCCAGGACTAGGATCTGCCATCCAGTTGTCCTTCTCTCTGGCCACATTCACCCTCTTCTTTCCAGCCTATCGGGATGATGCCTTCTCCTTCCCTTTGTCAGAGTATTCTGATCCACTTCTCCTTGCTGGATTCTTCAGACAACTCCTTGTTTGGTGTCTTTCCATTCCACACACAAAACATGCATAATTCCTTCCTCTCCATTCCTGGCTATTCATGTGTTGCCTGGGAGGATGCCAGAACCCTCCGGCACCTGCCCCAGGTGCATCCATGTTTCTACCCTCTATAAAATCCCTGGCTGCTTTTTGACTTGCTGTTTTATTCCTTCCACTTTTCCAGCTAATAAAATCCAGGACTCTAAATCACAGTAAAGTGCCCATTCTAGAACATCTGGTCTCAGTCCTCCTTTAAAGAGCTCCAGTTTAGTGGTGGCTGACCATTCTGGAACTTTACCTGCCAACGACTTGAACTTCAATACATACTCCACAACCGATTTAGTCCCTTCGTTCAATTGCTTAAGCTGAGACTTTGCCCTTATATTCACTGGAGAGTCTTGGAACCTCAGCTTTAAAGCCTCCAGAAATCTCCCAACCGGTTAAGTTCTGGGACTTGAGTCTCATAAAGTTGCACCATCCAATCTGCTGCTTCTCCCCTCAACTTTGCTCCCAATGCATGCACCCGGGCTGTTTCTGAGGAAAAAGTATGTCCCCAGTCCATCATATAATTCCTCACATTGGTCAGGAAGTAAGAGAGCTCCTGCGGGTTCCCTTTAAACTTTACCTGCAGCTCCCCTCTGGCAAATCCTTGCCCAAGAGGGATGAGGAGAGCTCCTATCACTGCCGGCAGCATCAGTGGGGGGCAAATTATTCCCTTCTGTGCATCTTCACTTGGTTCACCCGTAGGCCCTGTGCTTCTAAGAGCCCCTCCTTCTGCTCCTGCCGAGGATTCAAAGCTGGCACTTGCATCTAACTTCCCCATTACAGCCTCAGTCTGCAACCCTTTCAAATGAAGGTTTCTATTGAGTCAACCTTGGATTCCAAAACACGAAGGTGCTGTGGGGTCTCATCTCTTTGCTACTGAGGTGGTGCTCCATCCCTCCGTCTCACAGTTACCACCGCTGCACTGGTAGCAAGGAACTGACTAGATGTCCACTGCATGCCAGCAGCTGCTCTGTCAAACACCGTCTCACCATATGGGGATAACAGCGTCTCCGTCCCAGCTGGAGTGATCTCTATTTCCTCCTTCTCACTCTCCCTGAGAGATATAGTTTGCTGTTTCCCTCACTGCCATTCAGGATAAGTAGTAAAGTGTGAGTAGTGGTTCTTCAAGCTTGGAATCATGTCCTGACAGTGTGTATCGAAATGTATTAACTTTATATGTGTATTTTTGTTCCCTTGGAAGTTTCCCCCTCATATGTTTGCAGGTCTTTGCAAATCCTATATACATATAGATATCTAGAGATTTCCATGTACCTGTATTTATGTATTTACATGTAGTCATTGTTTTTTATATAATTTTTCTCCTCACATGTTTGCAAGTCTCTGTAAATCCTATATAGATATAGATATTGATAAATATATAGAGGTACCTGTATATCTCTGTGTGTGTATGCATATGTGTATATATAAAAAGAACTTTATATATGAATTTTCCTCTCATATGTTTGCAAGTTTTTGCAAATCCTATATAGATATAATTATCTATATATAGAGAGGTGTCTAGAGAGATATATTTAAATATAGATATATAGGGCTTGTAAATATTGCAGTAGGGAAATGCACATATGACTTTTTTTTTGTCGTGTCAGGCGTGACTTGAGAAACTGCAAGTCGCTTCTGGTGTGAGAGAATTGGCCGTCTGCAAGGACGTTGCCCAGGGGACGCCTGGATGATTTGATGTTTTTATCATCCTTGTGGGAGGCTTCTCTCATGTCCCCGAATGAGGAGCGGGAGCTGATAGAGGGAGCTCATCCGCCTCTCCCCGGATTTGAACCTGTGACCTGTCGGTCTTCAGTCCTGCTGGCACAGGGGTTTAACCCACTGCGCCACCGGGGTCTCCTACATATGACTATGATAAGTGGAATGAATTGATTAATTACGGACTTGGCAAAATGATGGCCACCAGGCTGGCTTTTTATTGTATCAATGTAATGTTTTAACTGTTTATAATTATTGTTACCATGTAATTTTTTTGTGTTGAATTGTAGGCATCAAATGTATGCCGGTTGGAAGCCGCCCTGAGTCCCCCTTAGGGAGTTGAGAAGGGTGGGGTAGAAGTACCAGAAATAAATAATAAATAAATAAATAAAATATATAGAGAGAGGATTTGCAAACTTTTCAGAGGGGATGCATATGTGAAATTAGTATATATAATTAATTATAGATCTATATCTAGCTCTGAATGTTTGCCCGTTACTATGTTGGAAGCCAGCCTGAGTCCCCATGGGTAGATAGCTTCGGGATACAAATTAAATGTTGTTTATTTATTTATTTATTTATTTGCTTTATTTCTATACCGCATTTTTCAGCCTAGATTAGGCGACTCAATGCGGTTTACACAGTGCAAGTTATACAGTAATATACAGTTAAAAACACATCACACATTACAACAAAATCAACAATTATTATCAATTCCTTATCAATTCATGATGCCTCAACAGAACAAGATCCATTCTCATAATCCTTGTGCCATTCCTATGTTCAATTTTACCGACTTCCTGTGTTCAGTTGTTCAGTTGCACTGATTAGCCAAACGCTTGCTCGTAGAGCCAAGTCTTGACCTTCCTCCGAAATGCCAGCAACGAGGGGGCCTGTCTGATGTCATTCCATAGGGCATTCCATAGCCGAGGGGCCACCACCGAGAAGGCCCTGTCTCGTTCCCGCCAATCGTGCCTGTGATGCAGGCGGGACCGAGAGCAGGGCCTCCCCGGACGATCTTAATGTCCACGCCGGTTCATAACGTTGTTGTTGTTAACTTGTTGTTGATACCATATTGTTTTTGTTGACTCTCCTTTTCCACTTAGAGAGCTAGTTTACTGATTTTCTTTGAAATACAGTAAATATTCAAAAGCATTTAACCTACCGATGCCTCAGTTAGTGTAATTTTATTGATATCTATTTTAATTTGAAATTTACCCAAAGCTGCTGCATTTCCCACCCTTGGCTTATATTCGAGTCAATAAGTTTTCCCAGTTTTTTGTGGCAAAATTAAGTGTCTCGGCTTATATTCCGGTCGGCTTATACTTTAGTATAGTTTATACTTTAGTATAGTTTGCTGCTTTGTCGTTATTCCGTAAGAGATACAAACTCCAGTTTTTGTTATTATCACCAGATGTCACTAGAGAACTTTCCAATCCTTCTGACTTGAAAGGTCCAGCGTTCAGATCACAATGTACTTTCTTTTTGTCTATGTGTACCCTGGTAGATGAGGGAAGCACCAAACATTATTCAGGCACAAGCATCACCAGTGTTGTTCCGCACAGAAATTTTGCTATGCTGTCATAAATATTGGCATAATGATCTTGCAGTCTCGCCAGCCACGTAATCTTACTGCATCATGACACAGCAGTAACTCTGATCTCGTGCATATGCATGAGGAGCTGTGAGACAGGGAGGAAGGAGACAGCTTCTTAATGCCTCAATTGTTTCACAAGTCGAGACTGATACTAATATCTGGAGGAAAATGACCGTCTCCTGACCTTGGAATCTTCTCTCCTGGGAGGAGGGGGGCCCGTCCATGCCTGTCATTATCTGGCGTGCAGAGTGATCTTGTAGCAGGCTGAAAACAGAAAATAAGCTGGAAGGGTGCCATTAATTTCCATCTGAAGATGCAGTTAACCAGCCTCCTCCTCTTCTTTTGCCATAGAATTCTGGCAGCTCCTCTTGTATTAGCATTAGGGCATCTCTAGCCCCAGAGCAGCTGCAACAATACAGGCATTCTTTACCACTGAGGAGTGGCTGGCTCTGAGCACACAGCACAGGGAATAAAATGCCTGCACTTCCAAACTGTACCTGAATAACGCTTCCTTCATCTTTCTTCCCTGCCTCAGGCACAACATTTGCTCTGCAGCAGGCCCTTCACCAATCTATCTTCATGCCTTCCCTTTCTGCAAACCCTATGCACCGCCTCCATCTTTGCTGGGAGCAACACTGTAAGCTGCTGCCAGAGGTCTCAGGCCTCACTGCCAAGAATGTGGCCAAATGGAGTGTTGAAGAGGTGAGTTCTGCTTCCTGCTTTTTTCTCATTCTAAAGTGACTGTGGTTCTTTTCCCCCTCTGCTTTGCAGTTGTGGCTGGTTTTTGGAATTGGGGGTGGGGGTGGGGGATTAACTCAGTTTGAAGTTAGCCAAAGATCTCGAATAGACAAATACGCACAGATCTTGCTGCATGCAGCCATTGCACCAGCTTCCCTGTTTGGGTCCCTGCTGACAGAAAGCATTTTCCGTGCTTGTTTCTACTGCTGACTCATTTTACATTAGAATGGCCTTGCGCATGCTTGCATGACTGTGTCACAAAACATCCCCACAGCGTGGCAGGATTGCTGGCAGGCAGGCTTATTCTGCCAAGGCTGCGATTTCACAGTCAAAGCGCATGTTCTTTTCTGCAAGCCAAGGTTTCCCCCAGCAGCCTAGGCTGAGCGACACAGTGTCTCTGCAGAGCATACTTTACACTGGCCATTACTTTTAACTGTCGTAGAAATGGAAAGTTGGCTGTTACATCATACATGGAAAGCAGCAGTACATGATTCTATCTGAGGTGCATGAGGCATGGAGGTGGGTAAAGTCTAGTGGGTTTGTCCTGCCGTTGCTTCTGTTTTGGCGCACTCTTTTTCTCTCTCTCAAAAGTACTGCTTTTCCCCTTCGTCCATGGTCAGTCACAGGAATCTTCTGGGTGACAAGTCACATGATCTTAATCCAAGAGGAAAGGAGGGAGGAATTTTCTCAGAATTTTCTCATACCAAGAAAACCTCTGATAACATCAGCATGCTTTAGAGTCAACTTGAAGGCACATCTCAAACATAACAGAGGGTGTGTGTCTTTGTCAAATTAGATATAGTGCATTTTAAAATTTAGTTTTAGAAACCTTGACATGCCGGACGGTCTGATTATTATTATGAAAGCCCATAATTTTCATAATAATGTAAAAACGAATGTGCTGAATGTTTTTTGCAGAGAGATGATGATGATGATGATGATGATGATGATGATGATGATTATTATTATTATTATTATTATTTTACTGACACAAAAGCACAGTATGTCACAGCAAACAAGATCTATATGCTGGATTTCATATCACAAAATCACAAGTCAAACATTTCCCAAGCATCTAGGACTGTGTGATGTATTTTTGATTGATGCGCGCAGAACCAAGTAAGGTGGCCTTTTGGAATTGACAGATCGCGATTTTGTCAATGTTTATTGTTTCCAAATGCCGGCTGAGATCTTTTGGCAAGGCACCCAGTGTGCCAATGACCACTGGGACCACCTGTGCTGGTTTATACCAGAGCCTTTGCAGTTTGATTTTGAGGTCTTGATAGTGGCTGAGTTTTTCTGTTGTTTTTCCTCAATGCAGATGTCACCTGGTATGGCAACATCAATAATCCAGACTTCTTTTCTTTTCCATAATCGTGATGTCTGGTGTATTGTGTTCCAAAACTTTGTCAGTCTGGATTCGAAAGTCCCACAGTATTTTTGCATGTTCATTTCCCACGACCTTTGCAAGTTTATGATCCCACCAATTCTTTACTGCTGGCAGGTGGTACTTGTGACATAAGTTCCAGTGAATCATCTGAGCCACAGAATTGTGTCTTTGTTTGTAGTCCGTCTGTGCGATTTTCTAGCAGCAGCTGAGGAGATGGTCCATGGTTTCATCCACTTCCTTGCACAGTCTGCATTTTGGGTCATCCACTGATTTTTCAATCCTGGCCTTAATTGCACTGGTTCTGATGGCTTGCTCATGGGCTGCAAGAATCAGGCCTTCTGTCTCCTTCTTCAGGGTTCCATTCATGAGCCATAACCAGGTCTTCTCCTTGTCAACTTTTCCTTCAATCTTCTCAAGGAACTGCCCATGCAATGCTTTGTTGTGCCAGCTGTCAGCTCTGGTTTGGAGTGCAGTTTTCTTGTACTGGTTCTTTGTCTGCTGTGCTTTGAGAAGTTTCTGATTATTGACTTCAATTAAAGAAGGTTCTTGGCTTTCCTTGACATATTCTGTCAGGGCGTTTTTTTCTTCTTCGACTGCTTGTTTGACTTGTAAAAGTCCTCTGCCACCAGACTTTCTAGGCAGATAGAGCCGGTCAACATCACTGAGAGGATTCAATGAATTATGAATGGTCACGAGTTTTCTAGTTTTTCTGTCCAAATTGTCAATTTCTGCCTGTGTCCAGTTTATGATGCCAGCAGTATATCTTATGACAGGTATGGCCCAGTGGTTTATGGCCTTGATGTTGTTGCCTCCATTGAGCTTGCTTTTGAGAATTTTTCTGACCCTTTGAATGTATTCTTTGCTGACCACAGTTTTTACATGTTCATGTTTGATGTTGTCCAGCTGTAGTATGCCCAGATAATTATAGGCCTCTGGATGGTGACACTTTATCACTTGGCCATTGGGCATATTTAAGCCCTCACTTTCAATGATTTTTCCCTTCTTCAGTGCCACTGTCGAGTATTTGTCCAATATTGTCCAATTTGTCTTCTGCTTGTAGTCTGTCTGCTCTATCTTCTTGCAGCAGCTGAGGATTTGATCTATTGTTCCATCTGCTTCCTTGCAGAGTCTACATTTAGGATCTGTCATTGACTTTTCTATTATTATTATTATTATTATTATTATTATTATTATTATTTCAAAGGATCTCAACAAAATGATTGTAAATCTGGTGTTGCCTAAACAAGCTCATGTTTTCCTCTCCTGGTACGCCAATGTGTAGGAGTTACACAAAGTTTTTATTTACATTTTAATGTAACCGCAGTTTGATAGGGCTTAATCATAGAATCAAAGAGTTGGAAGAGACCTCATGGGCCATCCAATCCAACCCCCTGCCAAGAAGCAGGAATATTGCATTCGAATCAGCCTCTGTTTAAAAGCTTCCAAAGAAGGAGCCTCCACCACACTCCGGGGCAGAGAGTTCCACTGCTGAACGGCTCTCACAGTCAGGAAGTTCTTCCTCATGTTCAGATGGAATCTCCTTTCTTGTAGTTTGAAGCCATTGTTCCTTGTCCTAATCTCCATGGAAGCAGTAAACAAGCTTTCTCCCTCCTCCCTGTGGCTTCCTCTCACATATTTATACATGGCTATCATATCTCCTCTCATCCTTCTCTTCTTCAGGCTAAACATGCCCAGCTCCTTAAGCCGCTCCTCATAGGGATTGTTCTCCAAACCCTTGATCATTTTAGTCACCCTCCTCTGGACACATTCCAGCTTGTCAATATCTCTCTTGAGTTGTGGTGCCCAGAATTGGACACAGTATTCCAGGTGTGGTCTCACCAAGGCGGAATAGAGGGATAGCATGGAAGAGCAAAATATTCTTCCATTGTCATGGTCTGATCATCATCTGATCAGTTTTAGACTTGCTGTGACCTATAACCTTTGCAGGGGTGGAGGACCAATTAAGACGGTCCGCCCCAGGAGACTGATGGATCCAGATGGATTCCTGAGGAATCTTGGGACTTTTCCTGTCATGGAGCCTGGCGATCCTGTCGACACCCTGATTGATCGCTATAACAGTGAGATGGCCAGGATGATAGATTTGATAGCTCCCAAATGCCCCCTCTTGTTGCGTAGAGACACTCCATCTCCTTGGTTCACTGGGGAGTTGGCTGTGATGAAACGCATGAGAAGGAGGCTAGAGTGCAAATGGAGGCAATCTCAGGATGTCTCTGACCGAACACGGGCTAGAACCTCACTTAGGGCCTATACCGCGGCTATACGGGTAGCCAGGGAGACCTTCACGACTGCCCATATAGCATCTTCATCTAGTAGATCTTCAGAGTTGTTTCGGGTCGTCGGGGAACTCCTTCACCCCCCCCCCCCCACCGAGGTGGAGGAGGCCTTTGATGACCCGACAACTCGGTGCTGCGAGTTTGCGCACCACTTTGCGGATAAAGTCGCTCATATACGCCTTGAGTTGGATTCCAGTTTAAACACAGTGCCAGGGGAGGTGACCGAGGCATCTGCTTGTCCGGTTTTGTGGGATTCTTTCCGACTTGTTCATCCTGAGGGCGTGGAGGAGGTCCTTGGTTGTGAGGGTGACCACATCGGCTCTGGACCCTTGCCCGTCTTGGCTAATTAAATCGGCCAGAGGTGGTTTGATTGATTGGTTTGTGTTGATCATTAATGCATTGTTGGAGCAAGGGATTTTTCCATCTGGACTAAAACAGGCTGTGGTCAGATCACTCCTGAAAAAGACCTCCCTTGACTGCAGCCAGTGGAGCTCCTTAAACAGAAGGATTGACCGCTCCCTGTAAGGAGCAATTACAGACCAATCTCCAACCTTCCTTTTTTGGGCAAGGTGCTGGAGCGGGTGGTCGCCTCTCAGCTCCAGGGTTTCCTTGGTGACATCAACTATCTGGACCAGTCACAGTCTGGCTTCAGACCTGGCCACGGCACCGAGACGGCTTTGGTCGCCTTGGTGGATGACCTCCTCAGGGAGCTGGACAGAGGGAGTGTGACCCTGTTGGTTCTCTTGGACATCTCAGCAGCTTTCGATACCATCGATCATGGTATCCTTCTGGGACGACTCTCCAGGATGGGCCTTGGAGGCACGGCTTTGTCGTGGCTCCGATCCTTCCTGGAGGGTTGCTCCCAGATGGTGAAGCTGGGAGACACCTGCTCGGACCCCTGGCTTTTGACCTGTGGGGTCCTGCAAGGTTCCATTCTGTCTCCCATGGTTTTTAACATCTACATGAAACCGGTGGAAGAGGTCATCTGGAGTTTTGGAGTTGGGTGCCATCTCTACACAGATGACACGCAACTCTGCTACTCTTTTCCACCCAATTCCAAGGAAGCCCCTTGGGTGCTGGACGAGTGTCTGGCTGCTGTGGCTGTCTGGATGAGGAGGAACAGGCTGAAGATTAATTCCGACAAGACAGGTCCTCCTGGTCGATCGTAAACCGGATTGGGGTATAGGGTGGCAACCTGTGTTGGACGGGGTTGCACTCCCCCTGAAGTCACAGGTCTGCAATCTGGGTGTCCTCCTGGACTCATCACTCACGCTTGAGGC